CGACCTCCAAGCCGTCCGTCCCACCCTGATATCCCGCCAGCAAGACAATAATGCAAGCAAGATTACTCCTTAAAGGAACATTTTAATTACCTTCTAATCTATTTTAGTTCACTGTCTCTTGTCTACAACACATTTGTGGTGTTGCCCAATTTATTGGGAGACGTTCTACATTGTGATTTGTGGTACACCGCATCTACTTGTACAGGGTTACTACTCGAAAAATCTTTATTCCCATCTGTTGACGTTAGTTCGAGCTATATGGCCAGCCACATAACACTAAGCAATGTGACAACATAATTAAAACTAGTACAGATTCAAAACGTAAGTACAAACATATTCAATTACAAAATATTCAATTATAAATACACATAAGAGGGGGGAAAGGGATTGTTAGTGATGGAGACTGAGAATCTCATTGCTAGCAATATACCCAATCAGGTCGACCTCCTCGCCGTTCCCCCTGGAAACTATCATGGTTAATTCCTGATGAATTCATCATGGTGGGCTAACTGGCCTGTTTTCATTCTCATCTATCACCCTTCACTGGTGCTCCGCCAGCGTATTCCGTTAGCGCAGGCGGGGTTACCATACCATTTTCATCCATCAAAAAAAAATACACATAAGAAATAATAATGTCTATGTTACTGATAACTTGGCAAGCCAGCTTTTAATATATATATTAGCTGACCCCGTAAACGTTGTTTTACCACTTATTGCGAAATATAAAAATCGCAATTAAAATACAGGGGTTGATCGTTAAATGATGAAAATTTAAAGTTGTATGTATTTTACAATGCTAAATTATAATAAAAAAAAATAAAAAAATTATCAAAGAAATAAAAAAAATATGTTAAGGTGGGTCACTCTTATCATTGAGGGGTATGAAAAATAGATGTTGGCCGATTCTCAGACCTACCCAATATGCACACAAAATTTCATAAATATCGGTAAAGCCGTTTTGGAGGAGTTTGGTAACAAACACCGTGACACGAGAATTTTATATATGTATATATATATATATATATATATATATATATATATACATATATATACACACATATATATATATATATATATATATATGTGTGTATATATATGTATATATGTATATGTATATGTATATATTTATGCAAATATTTTTAGTGTTTGGACACATGTTTTTATTAGTTCAAATACGGTTAACGCAAAGACTTAGTATAAACATACGTGACGTGCATTGTTGTTCCTCCAATCACAGTTTATGTAACGGGAATTTTATGAGCTTACTACGTTGATTCAGAAAAATGAGCATAACTTTTTACAATAATATAAAATCAATAGTCCAATTGTAATGATAACCCCTTTTTTTAAGTTGGTTGAAAATTAAATTCTTATTACTACATACACAAGATTGAATATTTTTACGATGACGTAATGGGACTGCGATTCCAGTTGAGTCTTAATAAAAATCCAGTTGAAATAACGGTGTACTACAACGCTGAAAGCTGCATCATCACAAAAGCACGCATGCTGCCTGATTCTCGATACTCATATACTAGCTATGCCAGCGACTTCCTTCGCGTTTATAATAAACTTCCATCACAATTTTGTAGAACATTTTCCATATCTTTATTTTTAAAGGCATCTACTATCAAGTAAAGGGAGAAAAGGAATTGTAAACAAACCTAGCTCTATTGCCAGCAATATATCCTATCAGGTCGACTTCCACGCGGTTCTCCCTGGATACTATTAAAGTTAATTTTAATAGAATTCGTCACTACTGGCCAACTGACTCACCTATCATCTGTCACTGGTGTCTCGTCAGCGTATACTGATAGCGTAGTCGAGGTTAGCATTCCATTTTCATCCCATAAAAACATCTATCAGGTAGAGTCAATATTGTACTTGACAACAGATGCTTTTGAATTCCTTACTTATGACTATATTAATTATTAACGGTATGTATTCGAATTGGAGAAACAAATAGGCTGTATTATCCCACTCAATCAATACCTAGGTATTTGACCCATTAGGGTATAATTATAATTTTAGAACTTTGTATAGTTTATATACTCTTATAAGCACATTACATGGCAGGGTCACAATAAGGCCTGCCGTTCTTATATGAAACGATAACGCATAAACAGACAAACACAAATAATGACGTAACTATACCATTTAAGGCTCGTGGTAGTTTCATCGGATAGAGGCCTTCCTTTATTTATAAAAGCTCGATATCGTTGTTTAATTTTTATATAACACTAGCCGTATTCAGCAGCTTTGCTCGCGTGAATCAGTACGTAAAGTATCCTATATGCTAGGTTAGGATATAACCTACTTGTATACTAAGTTTCATTCAAATCTTTTAGGTAGTTTTTGCGTGTGAAAGATTAATAAATATCTATTCATCGTTATAAACTTTTTTTGTATTCATAGAATTTTACTAAGTAAACATACATAGGTACCAAATACTATTATAAAGATCTTTATAAACCAAATTAAATTGTAAGGAAGTGTAAATAAGTTTTTTTTTTTTTAATGATGGGATGATATTCCTGTTTCCACTTTGATATTATATTTACTTATTATGTTTAAAGAATATTTTTGTTGCTAAACCATACATGTCAATTATCTACAACTTTGTATGTACCCGTTTTTACTAAATATATTTATTGTAGTTTTTTTTTCTTTTTTATCATCCCTGTATGTGTTTACTTTATACGCGTATGATTCAATTTTCTCAATTAATTACATAAACTTCTACTATTGTATATATTTCAGTATTCGTTGTCTATTTTTATATAAATTAATTAATTTTTACATAAAAAAAATAAATTATATATTTTTAATAACTGTTCGTACCAAAATAAAATAAAAATTATTGTCTATTTTTTATTACAAAACTTGATCATTTATTTGTATCTTAACGTATCTTAATAACTTGATCATATAATTCGTGTACTTTCTTAAGCTAATACTTAGAGTACTCGTATTAACTCAAGAACATACACCTATACCTATGTTATTGAGTCAATACTCCGATTCTTAATCTAAATAAATACATATTTTTGACAAATATTAAAATTTTTCCTGCGCTCACGGCCACTCGAACCAGGGGTCCCCTTAAATCGGGGCCCTGTGGCATTTTGTCCGCTCTGCCACCCTATTGTTACGCTACTGCAAATAGGGAAAAACCGTCGTTTTCGATTTACTATCGCATACATCGGTCACGTGATAGTTGTTTGTATGAGGAACTTTGAATGACATTTTAGGTTTCACATTGATATACGCTTTCCGCATTATCCTTTATATACAACCATCTATCTCTGTAACATACATATGTTTTGTTGGTTGATGCGTTATAAAAATAATATACCAATTTATTTATTTAGTCTTTATTTTTAAAATTTAAATCATCTTTATTCAAATAGACTTGTTAACAAGCACTTTTAAATTGCCATTTTTTTAATCTACTACAGAGTTCGAAAGGTTGTTATCTATTAAGAAGAGCCCGCAAGAAATTCAGAAGTTAGGTACCATACATTTAGATATATTGTAATATTATTCAATTAAATGAATATATATATATATATATATATATATATATATATATATATATATATATATATATATATATATATATATTAATTATGTTTACAATTATTTCACACACAATAACGAGACAAGTAGGTATGGAGGACAAAAACAAGACAAGAGAGAGAGAAAAAGAAAACAATTTATAATGACAGATACTGGGATTTAATTCGTAATTATTACAAAGTGTTAAGTAGGTAGTATATATAATATTTTTAATAAAATACATAATGTACTACGAACGCCCCGTTTATTCTGTAAGTAATTGATAACATTGATAAGAGAGTCGTGTATGTCAACGCGCAGTCTCGGACATTGTGTTTAGGTGTTTTGTGTGCCATTTAAATAACTTAATTATATGAGGTCAAACCTTTCTCACGACCGCTATCTCAAGGCACAGATAAACCCTGCAGTCACTAATATCGACTTTAAAAACATTGTTTTTATTTTTATAATGCAGAATGGCAAATAATTCGATGGCATAACTAAAAGAAAATGGTATTCGTCACCTACAGACATGAAGATCGCCATAAATTAATATAATGTTAATAGCCAACGCCATTATAGTTTACTTTATGTCGACTCTACAATCGTTCAAGAGAAAGGATTGTTAGTAATAGAAACTAATAACCTTATTGTTAGCAATACGTCCAGTCAAATCGACCCCCTCGCGGTCACCCCTGAAAATCATCGTAATTAATTCCAGGTAAATTCATCACGATAAGCTAACTGACCTGCCTTTTTATTCTCACCTATCATCTCTCACTGGTGCTCAGGCAGCGTATAACATTAGTACAGGCGGAGTTACCGTTCCATTTTCGCACATAATAAAGACTCCATGACCAACACAGTGTATTTTCATTTGAAAGGACTAAAGTGTGATTTTGAACTTTGTAATTTCATTGCCGTACCATACCCCACTTTTCAAAGAGAAACAGCCTTGCCAACACTACTCGACAGAAACAGGAGTGTGACCATGAAGACGACTTTTTACAAAGTCTCCCACTTGCTCTATCTATAATCAAATTATTACACAACTTTCCGGTATTATATTAGAGGTAAACTAAAATAAAGGTCGTATATGAGTACATCACACAACTATAGCACCTATCCACACCGACAGCTTGCTAAAATGTCACACATGAACGCCGTATGCGTATTAGTAAATCGAGCACTTTTATCTGATAAGGCAGCACCGATAAGCCGATGACTAGCTGACTCACAAACAGATGGACTTCTTTTGCTGTACAATAACGACGCATTGCGACAAAATTGTGAAATATATCATAGTGTGAAAATACCCATAAAACTTGAGCATCAGATGCTATCTTGTAATTATCGGATATGGCCATACTCTTATTAATTTTAAATAAGTTTTATAGTTTATATAATTATAAGGTTCCTAACAAAATTCTACTTTGTTTCAGGGCATGAGTAATCTTGTGAGATGGTGACATGATTTAGCATGCGCTGTGCGACGTGGTGGCAAGTTCTTCTAGCGCTTTCAGCGCATTCTCTCGCACAGGCCATCGTGCCTACAATCTGCGAAGAGAAATACTGCGAATGTGATTCGTTCACCAGAGTCATATGCAACTGCGCAGAGAACAATGTAAGTTTTCTCTTTGTATACTTTTACTTTTTGTCATGAAGAACAATGTTATGAAAAGTGGTAAATATAAAGTAAAAAAGCATGGAGATCACAGAATATACTTTTATGAGATGATAATGAAATGGTAACCCCGCCTGTGCTATCAGTATACATTGACGGAGCACCAGTGAAGGATGATAGGTTAGGACGAAAAAGCAGTAGTTAGCCCATCGTGAAGAATTTGCTAAGAATTAAGCACAATGGTTTCCAGGGAGGATCGCGAGGTCAACCTGCTGCAATTTATTGCTAGCAATGGGACTATTAATATAATAATACTACCCATTACTAACGATCAAGTGACCAAGTTGGGGGAAGGCACCCAACTGGCCACCAGTGAGGAATGATAAATAAAGATCCAAACCAAGCCAGTTGGGCCCATCGCGACGAATTTATAAGTATTAATTGCGATGGTTTCCATGGGGGAATCGTGGAGGTCGACTGCTAGTCCCCATTACTAAGAATCCCTTCTCCCCTCCCGCATAGAATGTACTGTTAAACACATTGTACCTTCAATACATCTTTATTACATTCCATAATTTTTTAAATCTACTTAGCAACTTGTCTGCCATATCTCACTCTTCAAACAGAAACAAAAATGCAAAAAAAAAAAAAGAACAGTAGAAACAAAAGTGAAACAAAGTTACTCATGTAGATGAAATCGCACCTGTGGGACTGTGGGATTTAAATATATTTTAGTGAAAATATTAGTGGCATCAAAATACTAACATCATTATTTTCAGTGAAATAAGATAACTTAATTCAAATGTAATTAAAACAAAAGCAATTAAACTAATAATATGTAGGGAAGTAACTATTCTAATTTGGCATAACTGATCTGTTTATTTATTTTCTCTCAGGGGAAGTCAAAATCTTTTAAAAACAAATTATACATGCATGATATATGAAAGTTCTCCTTGCCTAGCTCCCAAAGGGTCTACTTTGATATGAACAGGCAATTTGACAAAGAGAATTGTGCAAATTATCATTGTACAAACGTCTTCCATTCCATGAATTATAAGAAACAGGAATTAACACGATCATTTAGATAAACAGGTTCCCGTTGTAAATAAATTATTTTCTATTCCAGGAGCAGGAGGTGACTCTTAGGCCAGATGGAGCCTACAGAGTTCCATCTACGGCATCTGCAATCATAGTAAATTCTTGCAACCGAGTTCAGTTCCTCTCAGACACGGCACGCGACTTGATTCATCTGCGCACTGTAGAGGTGCGGGGTTGCAACCATGTAGTCATCAATGAACGTGCTTTGGCGTGGTCACCGTTCCCCAGAGAAGCAGAAATGAATCCTGGCTTGCGAATTTCAATTCACAATAGTACAGTGAACGAGATTTCATCGCACGCAATCCAAGGACGTGTAGATGATATAATAATAACCGGCAGCAGGATCAACAACTTGAAGCCATTCGCTTTCTCTAGTCTTATTGGTGTTAAGAACGTAGAGTTAATAGACAATGTATATGACACCATAGAAATACAGCCGTTTAAGAAGTTCACCACAATAAACTTTATAATGCGAGGTGGTAATATAGGTACGCTGCCTAGCAGATTTCTCTCTAACGTAGATGTGACTGACTTATTCCAAATGGAATATGTAACGATAAATAATATAAATAGCTTAACATTTCTTGTCAACTCACCAAAGAGGGTCGTCATTGAAGGTAATGTGATAGGCACGCTGGAAGGCGATGGATTTCACATACTTACAAGAGGACCTATTACATTTAGGAATAATACAGTGAAAACGGTGGCACGAGGTGCTTTTCTTGGATTTTCAAGTGATTGGAAGCTCGTGTCCGTTACGGGACGCCAAGAGCTATTGATAGACAACAATACTTTAGGAGAATTGGTGCCTTCGGCGCTAATTTACAACAGTACGACATTAAGTATGCGCATTGACAGTCTCAACTTAAATGAAACCTGCACATGTGATTTAGCGGAGGGGTGGCGAGAAATACTGAATGTACAAAGTGGTGCCATAATGTGTTGGTATTACCTAGAAAACCACTATGTTTCGCTACGAACATTTGTGGATAGCAGATGTGGTGAGTTCAAACAGACATTTTGGATCTATGTAGTTATAGGTATAGTTCTTGCGGCGATAGTGGCCGCTGTGATTACAGTCATCATAGTGAGACGCGAGAATGAAAAGAAAAAAAATAAAATACAGATAGTGTTGCCCGATGGTAAAACTTATAGGGAGACCGAGGTCCATATAATAGTGGAGCGAGCAGAGCTGCTATCGACTGACTTTTAATTCTGTGAACATTCCGGGAGTGATTTCAGTTGCGTGTAGGTTTTTCTACCTCAGTGTCACTCAGATAACATTGTGCCAATATAATTTTAACGTCCTATCAGTATTATAACGAACGTTCGCTTGAATATGAGAAATATTTTGTTACTTCATGTTTTGTTACCCATTGAATTAAATTATTTTTGGAAATTTCTTTAATAAAGTATAATGTAAGATATTAATATTTTCATTTATATTACATTTTGATTGATATCATGCCTGTCTTATCGGCAACGCGATTAAATTTATTTTTTTGTAGAGCAAACGACATAATTATATTGTGTATGTAAGTATATTGCTGCCAGCGAATGTGCGAAGTAAATATTAAATGATTGCGCAATTATCACTGCATATTTGCCTAATGATTAATTATATTGTATTGGAAATAGAGATAATAAAATTAATTAAGTATATGCAATTATGCGAATACTATTATTTTCCTTGTACGTTTATACATTGTATATTAAACATATAAAATATTTCAGACATGCAGTCTGAGAATGGAATACATGAGTAAGAGATATTTGGTCATAAGATATCCTATCTGTTTGTGTTATTTACCAGGGGAAGACTTTTGCACAAAAGTCGCCTATATGGTTACCTCTATTCCAGTCGCTATTATTGTTAAGTAAGTATTATTATTCTATATTATTGTTAAGTTTATTCTCAATTCATGAAGTAATTTATGCACGATGTATGCACAAAAATCTTTATTGAATATCCATACTTAAAAAAAATTATCTATCCATATTCATCCATATAATCCATTGAACAAATTATCATAATTTACACTACAGGTATAAATGTCTATTTGGTCCTGGCATAGAATAGACCACCCTTACCTTTCTTGTGGGTGTCGTAAGAGCCGACTAACCCGCCTGCCAAGCGTGGCAACTACTGGCAAAACTCCCCTTATGAGGAAGGATTTAAGCAATGGACAGTTAACGGCTAAAATGATACTACACGAATATGCTGATTTCTTACTACTTAATATCACTAAGTACAATATACACTAGTCATAAGTATGAAGATAAGCAGGAGCTGCTGAAAGATATATGAAAAATGTTAATAATAACTTACCTTGAAATCATTCTAACATACACCATTTTCAACATTAAATAAAGCATCCTGCACGCCCTCTTGTGTTCATATTAAATTTAAATACGCATAATCTTCTCTCACTTCCTTCAGCTTCCCTAGATTACAGTCAGGCATAACATATGGAGACAATAGTTTGTCTTCATGAATGGCAAGTGTATAAAAATGGCAACGCATGAAGGCAAGAGTGTTACGATGCATTCTGAGACATTCGTGGTGCTGTTTGTGTTTGTAGACAATGATTACCACTTTCGATCAGGTGGCCAGCCAGCTTGTTAATTATATGGTACCATATTGCATAATAAAAAAATATATTTCACACATCTCTACACTAAAACCCTCTAAAATAAAAATCGATAACAACATTGTCTTTCTTTAATTCTATCATTTGTAAAAAAATATACATTAATGTAATAAATATTTTACATTATTTAATTTTTAAATTACACAAATTATTATACGTGTAGTCAAACTAAACCTAAGTTGAACTCAACCGTGATACAAGACCCAAATTAAAATTAGGTCAGAACTATGAAAGTAAGCAAACCAGCAAATAATAAGGCGCAAACATAATGTGGGCTAGAACAATGTTATCTTTTGTCTATTTTATAATCGTATCTTTACATTAATACGTTTAATGGAATAAATAAGTACATTTATATGATTAATTCTTCTCTTTCCGCGTCTAGGGAAAGTAGATAGTTTTGTTTGAGAAATCAGTTCAGGGTACGATAGGACTGATATACCTGAAGAAGGTAAAAGCCCTTAAAATAATAATAAAAAAAAAAAGATAAGTCAACATAAATCTATAAATATAATTAAATTGTATTCCACAAAACATAACGACATTAGTTGTGACAAAACCCAGTTATTTTAATTTAAAAACTTAACTATCAAACTGATTTTGATAACATTTCTATGTAATCAGTCTATATATTCTTTCGAATAAATAAGAATTTTTCAAATTTGTATACAACTAACGGAGTTACGAGATAACAAACATAAAAAAATAAACCGAATTAAGAACCTATTTCTTTTTGAAGTCAGTTGAACAGACATACAGAATTCTTGTTCTGAATTTGTATTCTAAAATTTAAAAAGTCCATCTTTATTTTATACAACTTAGAATGGCAAACAAGCTGACGGCCCACCTGGTGGAAAGTGGTAACCGTCGCCTATAGACATAAGCAGTACCATGGACATAACAGAGTATACTGTTTCGCCCATGATACCTCCCATGCGTTGCCATTCCTGAGGACTCAGATGTTATTCCTCTGTACCCTGTAAATTCACGCCATATTCCACCCTTCAAACCGAAACACAGCCATGCAAACACAACTACTTCACGGTAGAAACACGAATAGGACAGAGGTATCCAAGCAATCGACTTTTGTACAAAGTCTCCCTCAGGTAGGTGATCTTACTATTTTATAACCTTACTTACACATTCAAGAGATTACAAACAACTATATTACTAGTTCAAGTAGGTGTTAAAGTGCCTGCCACTTCAATATCATTGATTTATTTTTATAGACCATATTTTTTTTTAATGGGTGAAAATGATATGGTAACCCCGCCTGCGCTAACGTGATACGGAGGTGGGGCACCAGTGAAGGATGATCAATGAGGATGAAAACAGGCCAGTTAGCCAATCATAATGATTTCATCTGGAATTAATCATGATAGTTTCCAGGGAGAACCGCGAGGAGGTCGACCTAGTTGGGTATATTGCTAGCAATAGGATTCTTAGTCTCTATTACTAACAATCCCTTTCCCCCCCAATATATTTTATACTATTTGGACGTATAGCATATATACTGGCATTTCTAATTAGCCCTGGCGTATTCAAGATTATTGTAAAGAGTGAGAGGGAAGGAGGGGGCGCTAAACCCTTTAAGGAACCTGTATATACACTTAAATATGTCTTTGCCTATGAGCTGATCACATAGTTCGAAGAACCAACAACCGATTGGAAAAAAAAGTTCTAGAATAGCGACCCCGTACGGAAGAACGCAGTATAGGGTGACCCCCCTTCAATAGATGAAGTGACGACCTCAAATGCATTACAGGAAGTCAGTGCATGCAGATGACTAAGGACCGTTCCTTATAACAATCTATGGGGAGGCCTATGTGTAGCAGTGGACAGACAATGGCTGAGAATATGCTGATGATGTCTTTGACCACAGCTAAAAACTACGCCTATACTAATAAGTATAAAAAAGTAGCCAAATAAATCAATATTGATCATGGCTTACATTGGCTAAATTTCAAGAGACAATTAAAATAAATACACTTACCTTGCAAAGCCAGGACGAGTCGTTGGAGTTTTAATAACTACACCTCTACAATTAACATCCACAAACGAATTTTTTTTTCTATTTTCAAAACGTATACCATAATAATAATAATAAAAAAAAACAATAAAATAACAAGTACATTTTATATATTTATTTGTGTAGTATATTTCAATAGAACATAATGAAAAAGTAATCAAGTTTTGTTGAAATTATCATAGAACTCTACACGAAATTAGTAACAAATTGAAACATTAAATCAATTAATCATCTTTTTTTTTTTTATTTGTTATTATTAAAATTTTATTTGTAATATATAAATATTAATGTAAATTAAAAAAAGCTTATAGTCTATTTCAATAGAACTTAAAGAAAAAATAACAACAAGTGGCAAAAAAGCATACAAAGCCCATCTGATGGTAAATTATCATCGTAGCCAATGAACACTGTAACACTAGGGGTGTCACGTGCGCGTTGCTGATACTGAAGAAATTTTAACATACCCTTTTTAAAGAACCGTATACTCTAGAAAGAAATTAGTAACAAATCAAAACAATCAAATTTATTATTAGTATTACTATTGATGCTTGGTCCCGGCATAGAATAGCTCATCCTTTCCTTTCCCGTAGATGTCGTAAAAGGCAACTAAGGGAAGGCTAGGGATGGACAGCAGCGTCACTCTTAAAACGTCCCTAAAGCCTGACTGCAGTTGACAACCCGTCTGCCAAGCATGTCAACAACTGGCAAAATCCCTTCAAGAAGGAGGCTTATGTTCAGCAGTGGATAATTAAATAGCTGATACTATTAAACATAAAAAAACTCTTACAGTTGAGTTAATTGTTTGTTTACATTTCCATTATGTTCTATTAAAACAAACTATAACAGTAAATATTTACCTGTAATCGCGTTAAGTTCCATAAATGAATTTTAATAACATCTACAACTCACCGCAAGAGTGGCTGGCCGTCGAGAACTTGGTGGATGGTGGGTGGCGAGGAGAGCTCCAGTCCCCTGGACAAGAGGAGGTACTCGCTGCCGTCGTGGCTACCGGAGTCGCCCTCCGCTCCCGGACTGGACCCTATCATAGCGAGCATTTGCACCTCGACTATGGTCGCTGGGAAAAATGTCGATTGATTAATATTCCCAGCAAGGGGAGAAAGAGTAATGAAAATTGCTATCGATATACCATCAACTCGCACTCTGGGTGATTCTCTTAGAAACCATCACACTCATAGTTAACTTCAGGTGAATACATCACCATAAACTAACTGATCAGACTTCATCCTCACCTATCATCACCCACTGGCACTCTACCAGCGTACACCGATAGCAAAGACGGAGTTACCGTTCAATTTTCATTCCATTAAAAATATTCACAAAAATGGATAGTCTCCACATCACTGCCAGCGATATACCACGTCAGGTTGATCACCATACAGTGATAAAATTGAAACAATCGTCGCTAGTTGCTGGTAAATTAAATTTATCCTCACCTTCCACCCCTTATTGGAGTAAGCGAAGAACACGTGCAGAGTTATTGTTTTATTTTTATAGAATTAAAAAAGATCTATACTAAAGGGAAAGTTTTCTCTATCTCTGTCCAACTCATGTTTCTTCCGCCAGACAATGCTTAATATTCGAAGAATGTATATGAATGTATATGAAGGCATTTTTCTGTGTAGTTCCGTCATAGAATAGGCCACCCCTTCCTTTCCCGTGGGTGTCATACGAGGCGACTAAGGGAACTTAATAGTAAGAGATGGGCAGCAGCGTCGCTCTTAAACAATTCTAAAAGACTAACTCCGGTTGCGAAACCGCCTGCAAAACGTGTCAACTACTGGCAAATCTCCCCTTTTGGGAAGGTTTATTTAATTTTTTTTTTTATTTATTTAGGTCAATAAACAGTAGACACAATAACAATATATATACATATGTATCTAAATATCAATAATTTTAGTGCCACCAAGGACGTCGGCCACCTATTACTATAAAACAAAGTATGCAAAATGGTTGTGTGCAACTACCTGTACAAAACCAAACATATACACATACATGAATGACAGAAATGTAAAGAGGTGCGTACCAGTGATCCACGCAGAATCAAAGAACTTCCAAATTGGTGTTATAATATTTTAAAAATTAAAATATAGCATATTATGTCCAGCAGTGGACATATAACGGTTGACATGATGGATATATGACAGTAAAATTACAGGGTACAGAGATCTAGAATCATGAGCGTATGAATATCAGTTTTTTTTTATACAACTTAGAATGGCAAACAAGCTGACGGCCCACCTGATGGAAAGTGTTAACCGTCGCCTATAGACATGAGCAGTACCATGGACATAACAGAGTAAGTATACTGTTTCGCCCATGATACACCCCATGCGTTGCCATTCCTGAGGACTCAGATGTTATTCCTCTGTACCCAGTAAATTCACGCCATATCCCACCCTTCAAACCGAAAGACAGCCATGCAAACACAACTGCTGCTTTAACTGACTGGTGTATTAAAATTTACTTTTTTATTCGCCAACAACCAACCAATCTGGTCGTATTATCGTTATTCTAAACAAGTACGATGCATAATATTCGCCACCTGCACCATTTAATTCCGGTCACGAGCGGAATCATCCGTTGTAAATGATTAGACACAATGAATCATTACGCTCAAATAATATTTAATTTAGGAATGTTCATAACCTAACCGTGCAATGTTTGCGTTACCCGACAATTTTTTTTAACAATTTTAAAAAGAAGTTCTTAATTTACATGGTTTTTTTTTGCGCACACGCTATATCTCCGCGTGAATCAATTATGAGCTGACATTAATAAATTATTAAATCCATATTATTTAAATCAACTGAAGTAACTTTTCTGCTAAGATACAAAAAAATATATGGTTGAAATGATTTTTGAGTTGGCTAAGAAATATAAAACCGATTTTATTTTTGAAGTGACAACACTTTTTTGCCATTACATTTTAAAATATAAATATATTATAATAATAATTGTTTCGTGAGAAATAATAATAAATTAATAATTGTTATTAATTTGCTGTAAGAGCACAAAACTAATATTTTTTACAGCTATGTTTTTTTTTTTTTTTTTTTAATTCTACATTAAATCAATTTTGAGGATTATAGTACAACACCTCCATACCCCGTAATATATATAATTTGATTTCAATTGTTTAAATTATGACAGGTAATACAGACGTGGCAACATCGTGTCGTGTAAATACTTCGTTTGGGGAGAAAATTATTGTCAGTACTTAATTGGTAGTACTAGTAATTTAATAACCCCATTGCTAGCTATATATCCTATCAGGTCGACCTCCACGTGGTTTCCTCTGGAAACCAGCTTGATTAATTCTTTATGAATTCGTCACTGGTGCCACGCCTGTGTATATCGATAACGCAGACGAGATGACCATTCCATTATCGCTCATTTAAAAAAAAAATAAAAAAAAGAATAAAATATACCTCGATTTGCAACGTGCCCATTCAGCGTGTTATAATTATAGTTTATTATCTAAACAGTAACGTAGCGTCGATTCATGCGCTAAATCTGTAACGCCTACGTTGTTTTGGGAGCCACTTGTAAATATAGACTTGTATTTACTATTAGCGGCCTACAAATGTCTATCTAGACTAATATTTTAACGAGAGAGCTGTTTGAGAGTAAAAGTTCATAAAACCCATTTGTCTGATCTCTGTATATTTTTATTATTATACTATTATTACTTTATTAGGTCGTCCTCCACGTGGTTCCCTCTGGAAACCATCATGGTTAATTATTGTCGAATTTGTCTCGATGGACTTACTGAATTGCTTTCATTCTCATCTATCTCATGGGCGAAACAGTATACTCCATGCTCATGTTATGTCCATGGCACTGTTTCGCTCATGTGTATCATTTGTACATCATGTGTATCTGTATCACTGTACCCCCCATGCGTTGCCATTCCTAAGGACTCAGGTGTTATTCCTCTATACCCTGTAAATTCGCGCCACATCCCACCCTTCAAACCGAACCACAGCTATGCAAACACAATTATATAATTCCTTAAGTCTCAGCACCGAGCACGTGACACCTTTAATCGTATTTCAGACAGGGCGTAAGCCTGTTTGCTACCATAGGAATATTAAATGTTTACTTTTTTCATGTTCCGTTGAGAAAATTAGAGCTGGCAAAACAGGCTCCTCTTCCACTAGCACTAACTCTGCTCAACGGTATCATGAGCCACAATCCGGACATGGATAAATTTACCTGTAAACCTGTCAAGTTTCGCAGAATGGCAATAAATTATTTAGAGAGTGTCCAATAATTAAGTGTTATTATGTTTCTATATATTGTAATCACAATATATAGAAACATAATAACTAACTAATAAGGGAGCGTATTGGGAAACTGTTAAAGTCCCTTATTTAGTAAATATAAAAAAATAAATAAAAGTATTCCCTTACCAAATGTCAACGGCGGTATATCCAGGTCGGGCGCGAGTAGACGCGACGCGCACGCAGCGCCTGCGTACACCAACTCCATTTCCAGTGCGGCCAAGCCTTGACGTTGCGTCGTGAAGGACGAGTCCTCGTAGCCGATACAAAGGCACCGGAAACCGTAGTGATTGTCCTCGCTGTACGCGAACAAATAGAGGAATAGTGTGAGTTGTATTTAACTGATTTAGCACGTATTGTTTGCTAAAATTATTATCAAAATTGGTACAGAATTAACATGTAAGATACAGACTAAATGATACAGATAAATTAATAATCTCGCACATTTTAAAAATATATCCAGAAAATAAACTTACCTATTTGACTTGTTGTATTCGTTGAGATAGTCCGAAGCAGTCTCCAGCGAGAATATGACTTCATTGCCTGGTACTATTAAAGCTTTTTGTGGCCATTCCGAAGCACTGAAAAAATATAACTTACTAAGTAAAATATAAGAATCAGATTTATAGTGTGCTTATCTAACATATCAATTGCAAAAGAACAGAAGAAGAGTAAAGGGAGAATTGCCAGCAATTAGAGGATTAGCTTCGCTAATATTAGCAATATTCTCTGTAATATTGACATTCACATGACCACCTGGAAACCATCATAGTTAATTCCCAGTTAATTTGATATGATAAGCCAACTAAACTGGCTTCATCCTCACCTATTTATTATCTTTTTTTTTACAACACAGGGGGCAAACGGGCTTGTGGCTCACCTGATGGTAAATGACTACCGCCGCCCATGATCACCCAATACAACACAAGCGGCATTGCAGGTGTGCTGCCGGCCTTTTACCAGTACCTTCCCTAGAGTGAAGCGGTGTTACCATTCTATTATAGACTATAAAAGACAAAACTATCAATTTGTAAAGATTTATAACGTTACTACCACAGTGTAAAAAACAGTTAACGTGACCCATCGACACTGGCGTATCCTTATTGATTACATGACAATTCAGGACGCATTCCTCTGTCTAGACGTTTACCTGCTCGACCTTTTTTTTTCATACTTGTATTATCATACTACCAGCCCGCTACTTAGTATGCATGAATTTTAGAAGAATTTTAGGCCGGCAGCACACCTGCAATGTCGCTGGTGTTATGGGTGATCATGGGCGGCGGTAGTCACTTACCATCAGGTGCGCCGCATGCCCGTTTGCCCCTGCGTTGTAAAAAAAATCCATAAAATAAAACTTCTAGATGGTACATTAATATTACTGAAACTGCAACTAATTTAGTGCAAGTTTCTGCTTGATGCCAGAACAAACTTATAGACAGGTAGACAAAATTTCTAAAAATTATTGCCTTGCCATATATTGGTCTTACTAACACCCCTCATACTATTTTTTCTTAAATATTTCTCATGTACAGACATCCTATAGTAACAATTTTATCATATTATATTATTAGATTTTTATTTAATATATATTTTTTTGTAATAATTTACGAGACTCCTTTTCTCAGTCAGTTCAAATGCACAGTTTAAATGACGTATACTATTTATTGTTCTCCAGTCACGTGTCAGTTTGACGACTGGTAAAAGACAGTTCTCGAAAATATGATAATACCCTGGAGCGGTATACAGCTCCAAACAAAACAAAGCTTATACTATTGTCACTAGACAACTGCTAGATAAAACAGATATTCTCATGAATACAAATACGAATACAAAGTTTGTATTGTGTGGATATTGAACCGAGACTATCGGAAGTCGAAGCAATGTGTTTATTGGTAAAAATAATATATTGATCTGGATTTCATCGCTGCTGGCCCATGTGATCTGTATTTAGGAGTATCGAGTCAAAAACCGACCGACCAACCTACGATCGATCTGTTTTTCATAATGGATGAAAGTGAAATGAAACCCATAAGTAGATCATATTAACACGCGTTAGATATTTTTTTGTACTGGTGTTTTATGTTTTATTCCCTTAGTCATTTCATACTACCATTAGAGATAAAAAGAAGTATTAAAATATAACGTGTGCTTACGAAACTTTTAACAATAAAAAAGGAGTAAAAATAACAATAAAACATATTCTCACTCTATCACCATATATAAATTTATAAAGGAATATATATTATTTGCTTTGAATTTTATTTGCTTGCATGATTTTATTTGTTTTGAATAGGTGATACAGAGATTTAAACGTTAAAATTATAAGTAACATAAGAAAGAAGTAAAGTATTAATTATGAGTAAAGCGTACCGTTCGTCGTTTATGCAACATTGTAATGCCAACATTATAGGTACTATACTACACTCACATGTTGGCCAGCTTGGGCGTGACGTTGACATACGCGCAGTTGTAGTGCATACACGGCGCGTCCGTCTCGCCCTCGTCCACTACTTCGTCCACATCGCTATTGTCAGACGACATTTGTATCAGGCGCTGTAAAATATCACTTATTAAACAACAAGCCTTTATCTTTTTTTTCTTTATTTATAAAAAACTTATCTATACTAAACCTTAATAAAATTTATCTATACTAATAGTGTGGTCAACCTTCATTAACTAAAATTAAATGTTGGTAGTCACTCGCTAATGGTAGAAGTTTAAAAAAAAAAAACAGAATTGTAATCAACTAACAGTAATTAACTAATTGTAGAGATACGGATAAAAGTTGTAATAACTCTATAAATATCGCACAGCGCCATCTAGTTTTACAATAAGTAAAATTTGTACTTTGTATACTAGATAATGTACTCAAATTATTTTTTGACACATTAACAAGACAAAAAGAACTTTACACAAAAAGAAGTAAAACTAGTCATAAATAATTCAGTATATTAAACTGCTACACTCCACCAAGGTTGTGAAATATAGAAAAATGACATTTCAAATTTATCTTTTTCACGTGCAACAAACATAAATTCTTCAGTTAATCTATGGAGTACGCAAAAATAAATAATTATCATGTTACTTAAAAACATATATTGATTAATTAGCGGGCTATAACTCTAGGTATATGCGTATGTGTTCATAACATATAATTCAAACAGCGACGTTTAAAAAAATGACAGTTTAACCCTTTTTTGCATGATTTTTTTTTATTGGTGAAATAAATCAAGGTGATATAATTCATGTTCAAAATTAAAGGAAAAATGGTTAAAAAAATAAACATGTCTAAATAAATATGCTATGTTTTTTTTTTCTGCGATGAACATTAAAAAGGTATCCAGACATGATCAACTTAAAGTGCACTTGGTCTTTTATATAAATTTTGTGCATTAAATGTTATGATGGAAACTTCCAACATTATGCAAAGGGTTAACGAAGACCGATAAATTTTATTTTAAAATCGTTTAACAATAAAACAGGTTGGCCAACTCACCTTGCGAAATGGTGGTTCCATTATGCGCATATCATACGAGTTCTGACATCTGTTCTTGGGTGCACCGGCCACTGCGTACACCGTGAGCGTATCCTCGGGCTGAGCAGTCACACTGCGTGGGTCCATCTCCAGGACCACCCATGATACGTTTGTTGGAAACAGGACCCTATTGTTGATAAGACATAATTTTAAATTGTAACCCCGGCTAAGAGATTGATCTCTTGAGAATAGATTAACCTGACTAGAAATAATTCACTCTAATTGTAATATTATCCCGCTCGCCATCAACAGGGAATTCATCCTCACACGCTTGCATTTAAATGGTTACGTAGGGAGGGGAAAGGAATTGTTAGTAATGTGAACTACCAGTCCCATGGTTAGCAATATACCCTAAAAGGTCGTTCTCCCCGCGATTGCCCCTGGAATACATTGTGCTGAATTCCAGGTGTATTAATTCCAGAGCTAACTGACCTGCCTTTTCATTTTCATCTATCATCCCTTACTGGTACCCCACCAGCGTATACCGTTAGCGCAGGCAGGGTTATCATTCCATTAACATCCATTAAAAAAAATGGTCACGTACAGTGCAGTGTCAAAGGAATTCTCTACCGCGAACGCTGTGGAATGAGCTTCCTGCCAAAAAGGGTATATTAAGGTTTCTTCAGGATCGACAACGCGCACGTGACATCCCTAGCGTTGCAGGTGTCCATAGCAACCATTTACCATTAGACGTTTATAACCTTTATGGTAAAAGGTATTGTAAATAATTTTAAAACAGTATTCTGTGAAGCCAATGCTGCTGTTGTTGTTTATAGGAGACAATTATCACTTTCTATCAGGTTGGCAGCATGATTACCATTCTAAGTATACATATTGATCAGTCCGTTTCAATAGCACTTAGTGAAATTGTAAACTTAATCTCTGTAATAATTTAAATAAAACTAGGCCATCTTTGCATGAATTTCTATTGAAATAGACTACAGTAGCATACAACATAAATTTTTGTTTCCTTCTTCTGTGCAAATTTGGCTGATTAATATATGATAGGTATTATTTATTTGTGTAATTGTCTTATGTGTTTTTAAACAGTATGTTGCCTTTAAATAAATAAATAATACTATCAACATATGATTTGAGTATACTAACCTCATGTTAGTAACAGTGGCTTGCTTGTACGGGTGATCACTCTCGACCCACGTATAGAAATGCGTGGTCGTTGTTGTGAACTCTTCAACGGCCGGCACCAGCAGGTTCATGGCTGCCACGTGAGGCAGTATCTTGTGGATTATCTCCAATAGTTTTATTACGCTCTGTAAATATGTACACTTATGCTACAAATGACAAATATAATGCATAGATATAGTTTGCAACCAAAGCGCGTTCATATTAAGGAAATATAAAGTAAGACATGTCCATTAATTGTCAATTTCAAAAACAACTTTTTTTTAATATTTGTGAATGATTATTATTTTAATATATTATCTGAAACATAAGTAATCTGTGACCGTGGGGTACCGGCTTAGAAAAAGCTATCCCTTTTTTTTGCGTGGGTGACGTAAAAGGCGACTAAAGGAGGGCGAGGGGTGAGCAGCAGCGTCCCTCTTAAAACATCTCTAAAGGCTAACTTCGGTTGCTAATCTGCCTACCAAGCATCGCAACTACTGGCAACCCCCCCCCCCCTCTCCCCAAGAGGGATACTTATGTTTTTTTTATACAACTTAGAATGGCAAACAAGCTGATGGCCCACCTGATAGAAAGTGGTAACCGTCGCCTATAGACATGGGCAGAGCCATGGACATAACAGAGTATACTGTTTCGCCCATGATACCCCCTATGCGTTGCCATACCTGAGGACTCAGGTGTTATTCCTCTGTACCCAGTAAATTCACGCCATATCCCACCCTTCAAACCGAAACACACAGCCATGCAAACACAACTGCTTCACGGTAGAAACACGAATGGGACAGAGGTACCCAAGCAATCGACTTTTGTACAAAGTCTTCCTCTGGTAAATGATGTTCAGCAGTGGACAGTTAAAAACTGATATGATGATGACGATGATTAGTATATAGTATTATCTGATAGCGAACAAAAACCTTAATCATAGAACTTTCACTGACTGATTGACATATAGTCTACTGTATACTACTTAGTCAATATTTAGCTTAGCTTGTTATAATCTGATTTGTAGACTACGCTACGGTCAACGCGCGAACGCTCCCTCTAATGTAACAAACATAATACAACCTACCTATTTATGCTTTAATTCTTTCTACCCAAAGGTTGTCTGAAAGAGATTGCTTAGCAATAAGACTGCCTTTTGTACTACACTATACGTATTGAAAATTTAAAATTGTATAACAAATCATGTTATGTTGGTGCAATAAAGTGTTAAATAAATAAATAAATAAATAATAACTTATACGCTAATAATAAAAAAAAATAAGCAAAAAAATTATAAATAAAACTACCTTAGAATCATCCAATCCCTCGAGATTCGCCAGGGTGTACGGAATGAGCGTGTTTATAACCGGCGACTGCTGCAGTACGGCGGCATTCCGTCGTAGATCCTCAGCAGTGACTTCGTTCCGAAGCGAGCAGAATAAATCCGCACTTCTCTCTATTACCACAGACGCTACGCGCAGTGTTATAGCACGGAGCGCCGATATCAATGTGTCCGGGCTTTCCAAGGAGTTCTGACTTTTCGATGTTCTACAATTCAATTAATGGGCGTCTATAAATTTACATAAAAACTAAAACTTATTTTAACGATTGAGTAACTTAATTATTAATTTTTTTTCTAATTCGGCATTAAGCACAAAAGAAAAATACCTAAATCACGATAATAGAATTACGAGACCTTTATTATGTAAGTTTTGTGAATAAAAGGTTGGAATACTCTTGAATAGAATACTCTTGTCAAATATACGATCTAATTTAGAATGTGATATTTATTTTTTTATTTTCCTTTTATTAAATATAAGTAGAGTGGTAATACTTCCAACGCTTTTAGTATAAACAGGCATGACACCAATGGGAGATGACAAGTGAGAGCTAAGTCGGGTCCATCTCGACGAATTTACTAGGAATTAACTATGATTCCAGAGCATATTAGAAATATTGCTAGCGGTTAATTCCCATTATTAAATATTTGTTCTTGTAAAGGATCCACTTTTATAAATATAAATGTAGTAAATAGTATATTATATTATACTCACCCATAATATATCAGAGACGGTATCTGTCCTCTAGCTAGTGTTGTGCCATTGAAGCTTAAAGAACACGAGGAAAATTTGAAAGTGGTTCCGTCTGGCCCCTTCACTGAAGGCAGCCCACAGTCGCCGTTAGCAGTTCGACCGCCATGATTGCACAGCCTTATAGCATAACGCAAATCTTCCTGTAACACTTATAACGGTCACTTGCGAAATACTTTAATATTCTAAAGTCTATCACATTAAATCCCCTCCCTCCACAGACAAGTCGCATAAGAAGCTTTCAGTAGACACGTTTACGTTACTAAGCACAAGTAAGGAACCGGGACTTTGGAACAAGCTCTATCTCATGGTTACGGTAGCGACAGCATATCAGGTAAAGATAAACAGCGATAGCATATGCCACAATTTTTGCTACATCCATTCATAAGGTGAGCATATTGGGAGACTGTAAAGCTCATCTAGTTGATGAAATAAATAAATAATTCGTCTATTTGTTCACGAAAAATTAGTCTCAGCCTTCTACGATATCTGCATTCTTCCGCTTGCGCAGTGTTTACGAATGCAATACGTTTTGCCAGCCTTATTCTACATAATACTCATATGTCATCCAATTTAGTTCGATTATTATTCTATTACTACGACTATTTAATAAGATCTTAGTAAGCACCAACCTTGAGCGAGATGGGTCGTTCAAACTTTATCTGCACCATGTCGTGGTGGCAATCTGCCGACGTGAACGTGCCGTGGATGATCTCTACACTCACCCAGCAGTGCCCTGGGTCCGACTCCTCGCCAGTCGCTCGGAGCTGCTACGAACACACACTTCATGTAGTAACATCATTTTTTAATCTATATCGTACAGTTAGAAGTACTGATATAAAAATGTAAAATTTCATTAATAAATCAATAAAAAAATAATATTTAAAAATCGTAATTTGATTCAATCAAGGAGCTGCGGTCGAAAACGAAAGCGAACCCATAAGCCCGGCACTAAATTGAAGAGCTAGTAGAAGTGCAGTATGTATTCGTCCCCTCCGGGACCAATGGGGTTGACGTATTATCCCACGTAAAAGAATGTTAGAATCAATCATGACTCACCCGCAAATCCTGCAACAGTTCCAACGTGTACTCGTAGTTGCCGAGGCCGCTGAACACGCACGCTCCGACCAACATGACACCAGGCCGGTCCACCGTGAAGCAGATCGCGTCCGGACTGCCATTACCGGTGTTCCACGCGCGGGACTGGTTCACCCGCATGAACCGCGACGGTGTCACTAGGTGTTTTATGGTGTTTGTGTCTTGGTCTTCCTAAAAATCAGTTCACAATTGACGGAAACATCACATCAATTAAATTATAAAATAATACGATTTTATAAAAAAAAAATACACAGCAATAAACTGTATATCACAATGAGTATTTGAAATACTTACATGAAATTTAAATTTAAATCCATTTAATGCCAGATAACATTCAAGATGTTAGTAAAGTATATCGGCTGCACTAATTTAACTTCTAAGGTCTGCTGACTAGTTATAAGCAAGAAGTATCAAGTCACAAAACAGCCAAAAATAAAGCATACAAATTTTAAGGTAACTTAAATTGAGAACGGCAATCATAGTATCAATAGTAGTATCAATCCCTTCGAATATTGCCATTCCTGAGGACTCAGGTGTTATACTTTCGTATCCTGTCATTTCACTGCTATATCCTGATTTTATCCTTGTTATTTGCTTATTTTTTTTTTCCGAAATTGACAGGCAATCGAAATGTATCCATTCGTATCGAATGGACAAAGCAAAAATTTAGATATGTTATCATACTTACACGTATATTAGTTGCACTAAAAGACAGCTCAGCTATGATTCTGGCGACCAGTTTGCAACAATATTCCGAAAGCGTTTCATGCTGCCCAATCTCGCCGTGATCGTGCGGCTGGCCGCATTGTCGCGTCTTCATCTGCTGCTTGATTGGTATCATAACTATATCGAGTAACTTTGGTATCACGTCCAGGAGGTGCCAGTCAATGTGTGTGGACTTGCAGGGAATTGGTTCTGCTGCCTAAAATTATATAGGATGATATATAAATTAATACATCAGACAACGCCATCTAGTGCCAAACTCAGAAAAACGTGTACTTTGGGTAGAAGAGAGTAGAAGTCGCGGCAAAGGGACTCGCCCTTGGCTTCTTCCTCCGCCAATTAGATTATATTATCTAAGTAGTGAATGACTGGTAGACATATTACATATATTCACATGTAATTCATAGAAAAAACACGCCTTTTAACAAATGGTAGGATAGAGTTCTATAAACTATAGCAGACATATAATCCCAATCTAAATAATGTAAAATCTAACAGGAGTAAATAAATGTTATACTTGGTGACAAACCTTCTGAGCGTCCTTGTGATGAGCTCTCGGGGGGATTGGCGGAGGTTTCTGGGCATGCGACGAGCGAGGTACTGTAGCCGACTTAGAGGGTATTTCTTTCAGGACCTTTGTGAAACAAAATAGCTACTTCAGTTATACAGGGTAAAATCAGGGAATAAGAAAATGTTTTACCTATTTTTCTCTAGGAAACATAAGTCGAAATACAAGGCAAAATTTAAAACCACCTAGCTATCAAATTATTACAATATTTCTCGAAAAACTAGGTTTCAATTCATTATCCGTTTCGTTGCAAAGATATCCTAAGGAGCAACTATCGGAATCAAGCATTCTAATTATACCAGTGCAGGCCAAACTCAGTATAAAACCCTATATAAACCCAAGACAATGTAGTAGTAGGCTAATATCATGCTATTATGAAAAAACTTACCTAGGTAGGTAGAGCTTTTTATAAGTGTATGATAGGTTAACGCTACTGTATATATACTCGTAAATTCATTAGCCAATAATCTGAGGGAGAAGGTTAATCAACAGCATATATTTCCTGTCACTATATACTGCACATACCTTACTATCAGGACGTCTATTCTCATTGAGCATGATATGGTTTTGTGTGACGGGCACCACATACTGGAGTACGTCGCGTAGACTCCGAGAGGAACACATGGCCGCACAGCACGAAGCCAACTCGCGAATTTGCGTCGCTGGCACCACTCCTTCCTGACAAACATAAGTATATCTTGGGATGGATGACATGTTACTTTGCAATATGCAGTCGTTGACCTTAATGTATTATAACAACCATTGGATTAGGTTACACTTATTTTAAAAACACTCTTAGATTCAATAACAATGGAATCTCAATCATCAATCTCTGTCGTATTCGTGTTTCAACCGTGAAGCAGTTGTGTTTACATAGCTGTGTTTCCGTTTGAAGGATGGGATATGGCAGTAAATTTACAGAGTACAAAGGCATAAGACTAAAGTCTTCAGCAATGACAACACATGGAGGGTATCATGGGCGAAACAGTATACTCCATGTCCATGTTATATTCATGGTACTGCTCATGTCTATAGGCAACGGTTAATACTTTCCGTCAAGTGGGCCGTCAGCTTTTTTGCCATTTAAAGTTGCATAAAAAATATAATTGTGTATTTTAATAAAAGTATTCGCTTAATGATAGTAGTTTGATTGCGCTACAATTCCTTTATTAGTTCTTCATCGATACAATAGCGCAGCCACAGATTTAGCTATCCTCAAGTAATACCAATACCAATACCTTAGCAGTAAATAATTAATTTTTATCCAAATAACTGTTGCAAATAGTAATTTTTTTTTTTTTGTATTTTCTAATAAAATAAAAATATATATACCTTAACGTGAAACAGCAATGAGCAGAGATGGTTCCACTTGAGCGTGGGTGTAGGAAAGAACGCGTGGAAGCAAGTCGTTATTGTGTCGTGGGCTTCTTTTAGTATCGAGTTGGTCATTTCCAGTGCGAACTGCACGTAGCAGACTCTGTGCGCCTTATTTTTCCCCGGCTTTCGTGGCAGCATTGAGCACGTCGGCGTCGGTTCGGCCATCATACCTTGAATAAAATTCCTCGCTTCGGCTATAGCTTCAAAATACGACATATACTCGTGTGAATTCCTCTTCTTATTGTGCTGCGGGTAAATCTCTATAATATACGATTTCACGAGCCTCAAACTCGCTCTGATAACATACACCAATCTCTTCTGATGCTTCATCACTGTCAACTTTTGGTAATTGATAGGTATTTGACCGTTTGTCTCTAGTATTATCTCTTTGAACGTCTTCCAACTCCACTGAAGCAGAGTTATGAGGGATTTGAAACAGGAGACGGTAACTTTTCTTGATATGTTTTTGGACAGTGAAATAATGGGGTCTCCAAGGTCTATACAACGGATCGTGACAGTGTGGTCGGGACTGACAGTGTTGTACAGGAGGCATGGTATCTGACCAGCGTTGACATCGGTACCATTGTTCGACTTTTTAGACGTTTTGAAATGAAAGCCAATTTCGTCGTTGATGACCATAGCCTGGCCGGAGGAGCCACAGTCTGATGACGGTCCGTTTACGCACGCCCACGCTACGTACCATCTATTGGCCTGTAAAGGTAAAATATAGTAAATATATTGTGTCAACGATATAATGCAATAGATTTGCAAACAAGGTCAAAACATTGTGCTGGAGCGTGCTCAAACCAACGTTAATTATTTATATTAAACGTCATATCTTAATCTTTGGAGAATTATTGGTACTTATGAAACGTTTACACATTTTAATTACCATTTTTAATTTTGGACATTTTTAAAAATTAAATTTAGCCGAAATATGACAAAACATGCTGCGCTACCCATATTAGAATGACGCTTCCAACTATCAAGTCAGTATTTTTATTTCAGCCGTTAACTGTCCACTGCTGAACATAAGCATTCCCCAGAAGGTAAGTTTTGCCAGTATTTGCCACGCTTGGTAGGCGAGTGGACAACCGCAGTTAGGCTTTTACAGATGTTTTAAGTCAGTATACGGACTCAAAATTTTTCGTAGGTTTTCGGCTCATATTTCTTTAGGAACAATGATCACTTTCAACACTCCCTTTGAAGTACGCTAATAATTTAGATTCCTATAATAAGATGTATACATCACCCCCGCCTTACTCGCGGAACTCGTCGTCGTCTTCAAAAACTTTATATGCCGTGTCGCCCATCGAGTAATCGAAAATCATCTATATTATATTTACAGAAGATTTAAAATAGAATTTACATACCGCGAGTGGCACCGGCACGTCGAAGAGTACCGGAAACTTGTCCCTTGGCGCGCACTCGTACATAACCTCATCGCTCTCGGCGATCAACTCGCCATCACCCTCTTGGTCACCGCCTTCACCGCCAATGTCGAACAACTTTATCTTCGCTGTGTAGTCGCCTCGACCACCAAACAGGCCATAACCGCCTGTTTCGTATTCATATTAGTTTTGAAACAATATTATTATAATTATTAGGGTCCAATAAATTTTTCTTCATCATTTTACTTTGCTCAGGCACGATTTTAGCAGAACTAAATGACAGTCTGTTTTTATATTTGGCTTTGCCTTTAAAACTATATGTTTTACATTAAGACTTCGTACAACCATAATATTCCTGTCCATAACCTTTAACTATTTGGGGTTAGCGTAATATATTTTACTCTTCTATTCACCTCAACTTGTAGTTATCTCAGAAGATACTGTATTTCTGTCCTTGTCATCTTACACACAATCCATCCATCAGTTTTCTATGTCGCTTTACAAACTACACATATAAAAGGAAACGATATAAATGAACAAACAGTAAAATGTACATACCAAGTAAAATATCAGTGTCGCACATGAACCGTATGGCTTCAACAGAGTGTCCTGAGTAGCCCCAGCCTCCGCCGTGGCTCTCGAACCGATTCACAGTGAGGAAGTCTTCTTTAATAGGCGCTACTGGGGTTGTGGTGCGATCTCGTTTCGTCTCCACTTGGTTTAATCTATATAAAAAGAAAAAACAAATGTCCCTTATGTTATTATCGCTCCTTTTCAACTGACTTCAAATAATGTTTGTTACCTCAAAACTCCGTCATTTCTAAACCGATTTAGGAATTTCTTGTCAAAAAAAATATACTTTCAAATTGGTAGTTTGGTTTTTAAATAAAAATAACTTGTTTTGATTTTAATGATTGAAGTAGGTATTTTTTGTGGAATAAAGTCTATGATCATACATCTAAAATACAATATACCAGTTTAAGAGAAGGAAAGCCCATAATAAAATCTTACACGATGGTAACAGTACTTCTCTCATCAGGCTATCAACTTGTAATTAAGTTGTCATCAACATGTCACTGCTGTGTACAGCAGTTAATGATAATTGTATGAGGATTAAAGTGGTTGAGTATCATTTAATCATCATAATAAATCAAGTCAAAAACTAAGTGATTACTTAATGCAACTCTTTCGATACTTAAAATGTGGATAATGACGTATCACATCCCTAGAATCTTATCAGCCTTCAACTGTCCACTACCAAACATAAGCATATCCCTTAAATAGTTTTGCCAATAGTTGCCACGCTTAGCAGGCGAATTGGCAACCGCAGTTAGAATTTAGAGATGTGTTAAGAGGGACGCTGCTGCCCATCCCTCGCCTCCCTTAGTCTATTCTTACGACACCCACAGGAAAGGAAGGGGTGGCCTATTCTATGCCGGATCACACGGCAATCTACAATGTTAAGTATCAAATGTCTGGAAGCGTAATCGTATTTATGTCATAAGTATGAAATATGCGTGTGTACCCAATCACGCTTAAAATGCTGCTTGATAGCTAAATTACATCATCACTAAGCACACTTTATGTACTGAATAATAAAATTAATAAATTAATCCGGCCTTGCTACGACAATTTATCAATTATTTTCCATCAGATCGGTAGTCTACTTCTTTGCCAGTTCAGGTAAGATAAGACAAAATTTTCACTTACTTGGAATCATGTGCAAAGGTGAGTGAATCTAAACATCCCAGCAAATGTAAGGCCGCATGCATCCTGGTGACCGAGTGGCTCGGGGCCGATGGTATTGCCAGTTCCTGGTTCAGCACGGACATGTTTGATAGAGCTATGTTATCTGTCGGCCTATCCTCATTATTGATCTTCAGATCTAAAGTCTCCAAGTTCTTGAAATCTTCCAGCCTCTTCATGGAACCGTAATTGGGGTACTCGTAGTCAGCGTCCAGGGTGTAAGCGTCTGGATTATTGGTGCAACACCGCTGAAGCTTGTTGGAATCGAACGTGAGAATATTGTAGCATTTCATGACTCTTTTTAATGGTTGGTAACACCACATAACATCATATAGAGGGTCGAGGCATGCCAGCGAATTCGCGAAGTCAACCTGCTCGCCGCCCGTCCATGGGAAACAGTTGCCGTCAGTTTTATTCACAGTTATGCACTTGAATGTGTGTTCTGATCGGTTGGGGAGTATCACTGGAATCGACAAATAGATGTATAATGAATACTACCAAACTTATTTTGTATATAGAAATAATATTATAATATTTACCTATAAGTATTATTAGTTATTAATGCTTACTAATATTATAAATATAAAAGTGAGTTTGTTTGATTGTTACTTAGTGCCTTAATAGCTCAAACGATAGTCACAAAATTTGGTATTTAGAGAATATTTATCCCTGTCATCATAGGCTAATATTTATCCCTGTCATTCAGAAAGAAGCTAGAATTTTATAATTTATAAAAAAATGGAGTTGAGATTATTAAGAATTTATGTTATTAGATAAAATCTGTTTTAATGCAATAAAGTTTTAAAAATTTTAATCAACTTTTTATATCCATTCTAAACCTATAAACATGCGAGTATAAAATTCAAAGTCCTTTAACATCCCACTTTATCAGCATTTCAGGCGTTCATTGTACACTGGTCTAGTTAGGTCTCCCCTATAGATCGTTATGATCTGAGCTATTAGCATTCATTAACGATGTTTCATTGATTCATGTAACTCCCGTCATTCCATAGAACTGGGAATCGCTATTTGGTATGAGATCGCCAAAAACCTTTATCATTTAAAATTAGATCAGGATATTCTAAACATTACTGTAAAAAACTCAAATAAATAAAATAAAATACCTATAGTATTGTGATTGGACGTGATCGTGGAACTAAATAGAAACTCAGGCCTGATCACAGACTGCGACACCTGAATGAAGGTCTGGTCTCCAGACGCGGAAATGGCCACCCCTTTGGACGTATGTCGAGGACCTAGGCGAGGCACTCGACCCGGGGTCGCGTACCATATCGGACTGCGGTTCGATTCTGATCGCATTACCTCTTCTATGCGCGGGCGGCCCAGTGCGCCTTTCTGTCAAGGAAGGAGGGAGGTTCGTAATCTAATTATTTCGTTTGTGTGTGTATAATATCCTCAAAAACTATGCACCGATTTTCACGGTTATATTTTAATCAAAATCGTTTACTATAATGTTACCTACAGGTAGCGGTGGGTGTTATATAGTAATATCTATATATTGCAGTTACAACATGATATTGGCTCAATAAATTATATATTAAAAATCGGTTCGAAATTAATATATGTAGATACCTGACTAGTATGTGCGATATTAAAATTGGTGATGCTCTATTTTCCGTTATCAATTGTTTATATTTGTTTAATTTTGTTTAATTAAGCATTGTCTAATTTTGTGTTTCGTTTACTTGTATTTTATTTTGTGCAAATTCTAGTGGCTACCAAATTACTATTTAAGTATATAATTATGTATTATTTTAGCTGTTTGTTTGCCTTAAATAAATAAATAATGTCCAGAGGAAAACAATATATAGATATTGAAGTGATACTGATATTACTCATGCCTGCAGGTTATGGGCACAGTTTATTTGCTTAATTTTTAAGCAACTTCAGAAAGGAGGACGAATCATAACCGATTTTTATAACTACTTTTGCAACGGATAGGGATTTACTTCCATATTGATTCCATCATTATTTTGTCACGATGGAAACAGCTGTTAGTTTATTATCTACTTGTTTCATCTTTACCTGATAGCATCCAAAGGTGTAAACTTCTCCTTCGGCAGTGAGCAACGCCGTGTGGTTGCTACCGGCCGCGACTCCTATACATCTGGGCACACGGACTCTCACTATCTTGTGGTGAGGGCTTACATCACCCGCTCCAAGTTGACCGTACTGGTTGGAGCCGAAGGTCAGTATTTCACCTGCCATATAAAAATACAGGTAAATAAAAAATATATGTAGTATAGTGCGCGTAGTGGAAAAGCAGTTGATGAGGTTTGCACAGGACCGTTCAAAGTGGTGCAACAAAAAGGAGAGTTATGCTCAGCAGTGAGTTAATGTGGGATACGCTGGCGGGGCACCAGTGAAGGGTGATAGATAAGAATGAAAACAGGCCAGTTAGCCCATCATGATGAATCCATCAGGAATTAACCATGACAGTTTCCAGAGGAAAACCGCGTGGAGGTCGACCTGGTTGGGTATATTGCTAGCAATGGGATTCATAGTCTCCATTACTAACAATCTCTTTCCTACCAGTGAATGTGGGCTGAATAAATAAAGAAAAAAAATACACCCTCAAAACTACAAAATATTCAAAGAAATCATATAGGGTCTATAGGGCATACAGGGTCAGCAACAAAACTTAATGAAAACGTTAATATCAAAAAATTCCTACACTCCTTAGAATAAGTAAATAAATACTACCGCACAAGTAACTCAGTGCCATCTAATTCCAAACTAAGCAAAGCTTGTATTGTTTTGAAGTATAAATTATGCATAATCGTCCAACATATACATATATGTTATTAATTAGATTCATTTGTATAAAGGACTTTGAATGAAATTTAGCATAGAATCACTCAAAAATTGTCTCAACTCACAAGTGTAAGGCCACGAAATGCAGGTAGTAATAAAAATATAATAATAATATACTTGCCGTGTTCTGTGAGTAATACAGTGTGGTGCAAGCCACAAGCGACTGACGAGACCCGCTGCCCACCTGGGATGGCGACGCGAGCCGGCGGCAAACAACTTACTTTCAGGCTCGCATCTCTCTCTCCTTCTGAGCCCGCATGACTGTCGTAATGATGGTATCTTCCATCTTTATCTGTAATAAAAAATCATAACAAGATACAACAACTATACGCTACTTTTAGGAGGTCTCTCTAAAACAATGGAACATCATCAATCTTGATTTTCCGTCGTCATTCAACTTTGAAAATTGTAATGTTTCGAAAACGATATGTCAAAATAATGCGACAAGATACCTTTATGCTACTCGTGTAATATAAATTTACTTTTAATAATATGTTGTAATCACAATTTATTTAAAGGGTTATAGAAGAAATTAAACCCATATTTTAAAGAAAATGTTAAGTATGAAAGTGGATGGATGAAGGAAGAAGACAACCGAAGAAATGGTGGATGGAGTGAAAGATGATATGCATAAAAGAAGAGAATTAAAAGAGGAGCGATCACGGAAATGGCAGTTGACAAGGTTTTGTGAAAGAAGAAGATATATGTATTTCATCAACCTCAAATAAATGGAAAAAAGCAAGGCAATTATGATATCATTCCTCACCAGTCTTGCTGTCGGATCTAGTGGAAGCGTCGGCGTCATCGTCCAGATCCGTGACAGTACGCTCGGAGCGACCGGCAGTAGTCTGTGTTTCCGCACAACGGCGACAAACACCACATGAGCTGCACCCGCTGTCGCCTTCGCCGCAACCGCATTTCCTTTAGACCACACATTTACATGGTACGAAAAACACACATGTACATGAATGAAACATGTGTAAGAAGTATTAACGTGTAAATCTGCTCACTAATTGCTGCAACTTAAAATGACAATAAGTATGTACTACAATGGCAATAGTAGTTAACCCTTCTTTACATAATGGTGGAAATTTCCACCATAATATTTAATGCCCAGAAATTATATAAAAAAACAAGTTCACTTTAAGTTGATCGTGTCTGGATACATTTTTAATGTCCCTTGCAGAAAAAAAAAACATAGCTGTCAAATTTATTTTTTTTTGCCATTTTTCCTTTAATTTTAAACATGAATTATATCACCTTGATTTATTTCACCAATAAAAAAAAATAATGTAAATAAGGGTTAATTATCAGAGTCGCGTCATAGCTTTATCCTTTTGTGTGCCGCCACCGCCTTAGTCAGACTTCCCCGCAATCCGCCATGCGCTTACGCATATCGCACAAATTTTTAAATATTAATTTTTCTTTTCTGAACCTCGGCAAGAAATAATTAAGTATTAGACTTAATTCTATTTTTTAATTCATTTTTTATATTAGAAATGGTTTTCAGGAAGGTATCTCATTATTTTACTTACTATATGATTGATCAGTCCCGGCTAAGAACGGGTCACCCTTCCTTTCCCGTGGGTGACATAAGAGTCAACTAAGGAAACTAAATGATAGAGGAATGTGCAGCAACGTCCCTCTTAAAATATCATCAAAGCCTAGCTGCGGCTGCCAATCCGCCTACTAAACGTGGTAACTACAGGCAAAACCCTCCTTAGGAGGGATGCCTATACCCAGCAGCGGACAGTTAACGGCTGATGTGATGATGACAATGATTGATGTGTAATAAAATGATGAAACACTCACTCTCCAGCGGCTCTGTTGGGCAAATGCGACAGATGGCACGAGTTAGAGAAGCCGGTACACTCGCGGCACATTACGCATATGCGACAGTAGTCCGACACCCATTTGTGTGTGGAGCACATGCGGACCTCCTCTTTGTTGCCGCTTTGGCGACGCGGCGTTCCGAAGCTCTCTGTTACAATAATAACAAGTCAGTAAAGAAATCAGTCAGCTGTGAGTCGAACTCACATGCCGAGGGTTCCGTACATGCATATTTTATTAAATAAATATACTATTGCGTTTATTGTGTTTCTTGTATGAAAAAGATATCTAATAGTTATTATTATTGATACTGCAATTCAAAATTACTTATTCTGAGCTATAACTGTGGTTAAAAACTGAATCGCACAATGAAATTTGTTTTCGAGGTTATTTAATTTATTTATTAAAAACTACAATAGTTAGAAACATCGTTTTATTTTTCCTGTAATATTCACATACTACCTTTACTTTAGATATGAGAAATGATTGAATAATATTGTAATTAAAACTCATTAACTATTTCTGAGGTAAAAAAAAGGTAATTTTAATATCTACCAACCATATTATGGAATGCAATAAGAAATAAATAAATAAATAGTACAACGATAGAGTACTATTACGAGAAAAACGGCAAATCTACAGTTACATGACCTATCTTACATAGAAATCCGCAAACTTATTTGCTACATAAAAGATCTAATAAAATAAACTACAATTACAAATACTTACTCTCTTTGGCGAAACCAAATTCTCTCCCACATTGTCCCTTGTTATTGATACCGAATGTGTAAACAAGGCCGAAGTGCGTCAAAGCGACTGCGTGCGCCTTTCCCAACGCCACCTGGGTTTAATAAAAGTAAACGTATTATTTTTTTTAATTCTTTGTCTATATTATTATAAATATTGCCATGTAGTTCCTGCGTAGAACTTCTCCTTTATCGTGGGTGTCGTAAGAGGCGATTGAGGGAACTTAATGAACGAGGGATGGGTAGCAGGGTCTTGTTAAAACATCTCCAAAGCCTAATTGCTGTTGCCAATCCGTATGCCAAGCGTGACAAATATTGGCAAAACCCCCCCAAGGGGAAGCTTAAGTTCAACAGTGAACAGCTAAGGGTTCAACAGTGCCTCTTATCTGTTAATAGTAGTTAATTTATTTTTTTCTATAATCACCTGCACGACTCTCTCGTGGCGCAGTCCAACCACGAGCCCAGTGCTGTCGCAGTGTTGCGCGTCCTTCCCAAGCATAAGCAGCAAGCCCTGCTTGGTCACCAGGGCTGTTGAACCATAATTGCACGCTGCGTACACGATACTGTGGCCCTCCGCCTGTAAAATTTATCTTATTATACAGTATATTTAGCTTGATAACGAAGATCAAAATTATTAACTATTTTCTTCTCACAAACCCTAAAACCCCAACTTTGAACACTCTAGAGGCTACTCGAGTGTCTTATTTATATTTTCACTCATCTTTAATTTAAACCAAGTTACATCAAAAAGTTTTGTATCTTCAGAAATCAGCATCGGGATCTTATACTATAATGTATACATACATAACAATGAAATATTATAAAAAAATAGATAGTACATCATACTTGCTGTTAATGTAAATGTTAATATAATTTCATGTATACCAAAATACAGTTCGATTCAAATCTGAACAGCTGTTTATTTTTTATTCAATAATAATTATTAATTATTTTCATATATATAACATCAGTACGATTCTTTATTAAATTTGTGACAGAAATGAAATGAATAACCTTAAATATTTTCTTAGGTCTGGTGGGCTTCGGCGTTCTTCTGTGTTTATTGCTATCCCCATCTTCGCCACGACGAGCTACGCCAGTGAATAGTGCAGTGCCGTTATCCATTACCAATATAGCATGGACGCCTTCGTGGCCTACCGCCACCTGTAAGATTGGACTCCAACAGTTAAGAACTAAAATCTCCAATAATCCTGCTTTATAGACGTATTCAAAAGAACTTAATAAGAAGTTAAATAAGTTTTGTTGAATTTATTTCTGAAGTCTTTCAGTCTTGAAGTCGATTTTTTTCTCACAAAAAACTTAAATCCACTACTATCGTAGGAAAAGTTTAAAAAACTTAAATTAGTGCCCCTATTTTAACAAAATTTATATGGGACCAATCTGAAAGTATAATATTAGAGATAAAAAAGAATTTTCCAAATTGGTTTATAAATAACATAAAAAAAATACAACCGTTTTGAGAACATTCTCCTGTTTTTTACACCTGTTGATAAAATTTGTAACAAATAGAAATATTGAAACGATTAATATATTTTTTATTTGTACTACTATTTTAGGTCAACGGAGATTTTTACAATGAAATCAATTATACGCCCGTTCACATTTTCATCAAGTCCTATTAAAACAAACTATTACTATAAAATGGAATCGAGGTGATTATCGTCATTCTAAGAGAGTAAACTTTAGTCATTTTAAGACACTGAACATTCTTCGCAGAGAAACGTGGATTGTAAATCAACGCTTTTAAAAATATTATCTGTAGAGCTATTAATGTCAGTTTTTAAATTTTGCAGAATTAAATTGTGTGTAGGCTAAAATTTTTATAAAACTGGACTCTACTGTTAGGTACAATAGAGTTATTTCGAGTCAACATTCAACATGAAAAGTTCATACAATTGTGGCATCTATTTAAATATATATGCGTGTCAAATCGTTACTTATTTCGCAACCAATACCTGCATAACCCTTCCCTTCTTGACATTAGGAATATCGTTTCTCGTATACACCGTCTCCTTCATCAGCGTCCAGCGATTGGTGAGTGGAGATGCAGTCTTGTACCCTAAGCTGGCCCCCTTGCCAGTGTAGTATACCTAAATAAACAATTAATCTATTTACCAGAACTTTTTACAAAAGAAGTTTGTATAAATATGTACTTCTGTCTTACTAGTATTCCTGCTTACTCCTTCTAAGAAGTACAGCTACATTTATGGCTGTGTTTTAGCTTGAAAGGTTGGATGTAGCAATGAAATAACAGGATAAGGAGACATAACACCTTAGTCCTCAGAAAGGGGGTAGGGATTGCTAGTAATGAGGATTTAAATCCCCATGGTTAGTAATATACGATGTCGGGTCGACCTTCACGTGGTATCTCCTGGAAAGCAACGTGATTAATTGCTGGTGAATTAATCAGAATGAGCTGACTGAAGTGCCTTTGTTATATGACTCACTTATTACCCCTCAATGGTGCCTTAACAATGTAAAACGATAGCGCAGGCGGGGTTACCATTTCATTTTGATCCCATTAACTTAAATCTCAGAGGGGAGAAGGAATTGTTAGTAATGAGGATTAGCAACCCTATTGCTAGCTATATACCCCCTATCAGGTCAAACTCCTTGCGCTTGCCCCTAGAAACTATCGTTATTGATTTATTGTTAAATTCGTCACGATGGGCTAACTGATCTACTTCATCCTAACCTGTCATCCCGGGGGGAAAGGGATTGTTAGCAATGGAGCCCGATTACTAACAATATGCCTTATTAGGTCGACCTCCACGCGGTTCCCCCTGGAAGCCATCGTGAACAATTCTTTTTAAAGTCGTCATGATGGGCTAACTGACCTAATTCATCCTCACCTATCATCCTTCTCTGGTGCCCCGCCGGTGTGTACCGATAGCGCGGGAGGGGTTGCCATTCCATTATCATCCATTAAAAAAAAACCTATCATCACTCACTGATGCCTGCCAGTGTACACCAATAACGCAGCCAGGGTTACAATTCCATTGAGACTCCACTGACACCACAGTGCATTTTAGAATATCCAGAACGTTCATTTCACTGACAAATAGTTGACATATCTATGTAGCAAGTGATTGTTGGAAAGTCCATATTTATGGTGATGAATACCACTTCCGTCGCAATGGCTATCAGTTTGTTTGTCATCATCATCATCATTTTAGCCGCCATCTGTCCACTGCTGGACTTAAGCCTCCCCCATAGACTGCCATAAGGAACGGTCCTGAGCTCCCTGCATCCACAGATTCCTTTCAATGCATTTGAGGTCGTCACTCCAAGTAGTGGAAGGCTGAGGGGTAATTCTACACTACGTTTGCCCGTATGGAGTCACCACTCAAGAACCTTTCCTGTCTATTATATTGGATAAAAATTTTATGGACACACAAAAAGATATTAAATCTTTTATACAGAAATATAAATTGAGAATACTAACCCTTCCTGATAAGGTGTTCAAAAGACAAAAGTCTTGTCCAGCCGATATCCCAATCATGGGATCCTCCTCATCATCATCTAATTGGACCGCCATTGGCGTGTCCACCTCCATGCTTCTCCTGGAGAAGCCGTCTTCGAAAGGCGAACGACCAATAACTAGCATATGTCGCCGGAGAAGGTGGACTATCATCTCTTTGTGGGACAAGATGGTGGCAGGCGCTGAGGCCTCAGTCCGCTCCCGTGGACTATCCACGTCATACAATCTTATTGTTAAGCACTCCTGTGAAAAAAGTAATACAAAATAATAAATTTTACTATGTAAATATCATCCGAATGAACCAAGTGCCAGTAAACCTTTACTTTAAATATATTAGGCCCACTTTAGATTACTAAAACACGTGATTTGAAGTAAAGAATCATACTAAAGCATGTAGTGCAAATTGACCTAAAAGCTACTGTTTACATATTTCTAATAAACCACTAAATACTAATATTTAAGCTATGGAAACTGGGCATAAAATAGGATTTGGATTACCAGACGGACTTTGTACAAAAAATCTGTCCCATTCGTGTTACTACCGTGAAGCAGTTGTGTTTGCATGGCTGTGTTTCAGTTTGAAGGGTGGGATATGGCGTGAATTTACAGAGTACAGAGGAATAACACCTAAGTCATCAGGAATGGCAACGCATGGGGGGTAGCATGGGCAAAACAGTATACTCTGTTATGTCCAGAGCACAGCTCATGTCTATAGGCGACGGTTACCACTTTCTATCAGGTGGGCCGTCAGCTTGTTTGCCATTCTAAGTTGTATAAAAAAAAAATATAAGTTTATATTTAGTGTTGAATATAATAATTGCTATTATTCCTTTTTATAAATTGGAAAATGACTTTAAAAAAATACTGTGAACTATTTAGAATATTTATTTATTTAAATAACTTTATTGACCAAAAGAAAATATGTCTGATCACATGGAAGTGTGAAACCATTTCAAATATTTGCATCTCAGGTTCTTAAAAAAAAAAATACTTACATAACTAGTGAGAAGGACTAGCCCCAACAAATTGCCGTCGCTGAAAACAGCCGACTTAGGGTCGACCGGTGTGATGGGACCGGGGTCGAGCCGCACCACGCCTTTCACTTCTAATGTATCTTTATCAATTTCATATAATTCAGTCTTCTTTCTTCCAATTCTTACATACAACTTATTCTATAAATAAAAAAATCAAAACATGAGTCATCCATCATTATTTCAGGCTGTATCTATCCACTGCTGTATATTCTTCTCCAATACCTTCCAAAATGTGCGATCCTCCGTTTTTCGCACTGGAACCATACATTACGGGTCCTTTTCAACAGAATGTCAATAGAATGACCATAAGTCACCACGCTGGACAATCCGGTTGGTAAAACATGAACAAAGTTACAATTCTTAATACTTATAATTAAGATTGTGTTCAACAAAAAAAAAAAAACAAGTCATTTTGATTTTAAAACTAAACTACTGAACCGATTTTGATAAAATTTCTATAAAATTTATAAAAATTCATAAAAAAAGAATTTTCCAAATCAGTTTAGAACTGACGGTGTAATGAATACATAACAACCATAAAATATATAAATCAAAAACATACAAACATAAAAAAATACTACCGACGTATTATATGCTTTAATATTGTTTGAATTTGTTGAAATATGACGATAATTGTTCAGGATGTCGGAAGAAAACAAGCCTACTGAGAGCTTTCATCGAAAATGCTATCTTATGCTTTTGAAAGATAACAAAATAATGTATGATGGGTTTGTTCCTTTTATTGAGATTACAAAATAGCCAACGATGGCATACGTTTATAATACATGTATAGGTTTCTATAACCATTTTTATGTTTTAAAAAATTGGTACAAAATATGTAGAATTTGGAAGAACTCACTTCACTGCTGAATTTGTCAGTTCAGCAGTGAACTGGTTGACGGCTGATGATGATGATGATGATGATGAATATACAAATACTTGTTTCTACTACTTATTATAATAAAAAAAATAGTACACTACAAAACCCACCTTACAATAACCTAGCCAACCGTGGCGTTCGGATGGAAAGAAATCAGGCTTGTATATATAAACGTGTTGTTTTATTGAGCTTCCATAACCAGACCCGATTTTTAGGAGACCTTTCGAAGTATACACATAGAGATAGCAGCCATCGGAAACCAGCGAGCGGACGACCACATCTCCAGAGCCTGCAGTCAGTTGCGAGGGAAGATCCACTGGGAAACTTGTGACCAGTGCTTGATGCGGTACACCATAATTCAACCATTGGTTACGGGACGGCTTGCCAAGGATCACTGCTTGAACGCTTCTCTGGAGAGTTGTTAAATTTGTAGGCACCTGGAATTAAGTTTTGTAAATAATGAACGCCACATCTTATTCTAAAGAATCCATGTATTATAGATAACTATATCTCAGTAATAAATAAAAAAAAAATATATCTCTAAAGGAATTTAAAAGAGCATGTTGAAAGAAATACTATTTTCATTGTTTTTTTAATGTATCATCTCAAATATTATTCCCACGATACTGCATTCCTCGTGTTGTGTGTTTACTTTAAACATGTGACGCGACCACTCCTACTACAGTATCTTTATCAACTGAGCCATAAGCTTCCTTAACATCTTAAGTCGCATATAAAAGTATGGTAAGGAAATAGGTACCCTTATGGTATTCACTTATTCCTAATCTTAGGTTATTTTTAATGGGTGATAATGGAATAGTAACCCCGACCGCGCCATCAGTATACGCTGGCGGGGCACCAATGAGGGATGATAGGTGAGGATGAATGCAGGTCAGTTAGCTCATTGTGACGAATTCCACTAAAATTAACTACGATGTATTCCAGGGGGGAACCACGTGGATGTCGATGTGATGTGATGTCGTGTATTGCTAGCAATGGGTCAGTTAGACCCCATTACTAACAATCCCTTTCCCCCTGCTAATCTTAGATATTAAATCTTCCAAAGAAATGAACAAGCCAGTTAGTGTTTATTGCTTGCGTTACTTTACACTAAAAATCATAAGGCAAAATAACTTGGTCTATAAGAGATAGAGCTGATTGCACTTAAAGATTGGACATAAAATAACAGTTACCTGTACATATTGCTCAGCCAGTAACGATGCGGACATAATCAACGAAGCGACGGCATTAAGAATGAGTTCTGCCTCCCCCCTGGCTACTGACAAGGCTATCAGACAGGAACTGCTCAGTGCGGTCAGATTTGTAGGCGTGTCTGAACGTCCGCTAGGTCCACTTCCAGTAGCTACTTCCACCAGCATTGCATGAAGGCTCGATATTATCTAAAATCAAACATAATTTACTTTTGCTTTCAAATACGCAGTCTCATTTGACAGATAGAGAAGAAGTTTAAGTTTATTATTATATGACGAAGATGATTTTTATTCAGGCGAACAAAATAAAACAATTTTTAATCTTTTTTATTTTAGTGTTTTATTTGTGCCTAAAGTTTGTCGAATTCACTATACTTCTATCTTTGTATGCCTTACATTTATAAATTGAAAATATTGAATTAATAAATTATACAGAAGGAAATAAAATAATATGTAAAACTATTCCAAATTTCAAGTGGATAGTAATTGCTGAGACATAGCGCTGAGACTGACAGACGAACAAAGTCGCACCATAAAGATTTCTTTGTACATTGTTGTTACAGAACTCTAAAAATTTAATTTCTATTCCATTTTAAGACATTTAAATATAAATATGTCCGATTAATATTGTAAGAAAAGAGAGAAAAAAAAAGAGAAGTTTGGACAAAACAACATCTGTCTAGTCAATTAGTCTCAAAGTAGATGTAGACTTTGCGGTTGCTTACCTCTGTAGGCTCTTGAGCTAGTTCTTCTGGTGTGTGACCTTGTAATACGTCTAGCAATGCTTTTAATGCTTGCTCACAGAACTTCGCGTCTGTAAACCTAGCCTGAGATATGAGGGCAAAGACTGTCCGTAAACCTATACCAGTCACCTGTAACAATAAAGATAAATTTTAAAATTGTAAGATAAATATTGTAGCTTTTTGGTAAATAAAAGAAAAATATCTTTTTATTAAAATAAACTCAAATGGCATAAATCACTGATTTCCAAGCGATATTCACTTGGGTTGCCTGTGAGATTATGCAATTGAGTCGCCATATTTCTAAAGAAACGAAGCATTAGGATCGTAGTCGGTGGAGAATGATCCAGATTTAAAACCTGTAAACGCTGGTATCATATGGTATAGGTATGGCCCTGTTTCTTCTGCGTAAAAATTATATGTTACGAATCAGTAATATTCATTTTTATTCGGATGACAGTACGGGGAATGCATTATATATCGATCATGCAAACATCTCGCAGGCCCACACCGATAAGTGTTGAAACAGACTTGGTCCTGAAATCAAAGCTTCACTTGATCAAGTTTCGATCTGGAGCTAGAGTAGAATTGGACAAGACTACAGAAGTCCGTGCGTTCACAACAAAAATTAAAATGCTATTTGTCATAGTTCCTCAGTTTGTGAACATTCCCTTTATACTAAGTTGAATCTGGAGAACCTAGGCGTTAACGTATCCAGCGACTATCCAGATCCAGTTTGTATTGTATTGTACACACATCGCTTGCGTGAAAACATTTCACAATTGTATGATGCTCAAGTCCGGCCATATATAGAATAATACTATTTTCACCACTGGCCTGGAGCACCACATTACCAGCTTCGTCCATTAGACGGCAATTAACGTCGGGGGACTCATATTATTGTTTTTAATAGTATAATTTTTGTGTTTCCTTCACTAGTATTATACATTTGTGTAAACTTTATTGGCTTTTTAATTATTACATATGTATGTAATTATTATATGTGTTGTTATAGCTGTCTGTTTACCTTAAATAAATGAATAAATCAATGCCTTACTATCAAACTCGACAAACTAAAATTGCAAAGAGACATTACATCTCTAAGCGTCTTTTATCCAATGTACCATGAGTATTCTGAAGAATTATTCGGTTTGATACCTGCTACTGAATTTCATCATCGTATGCACTAAAATTCCATCTTGGTATATTCAGATGGTTGGCCATCCGAATGAGAGGCTATCTTCCACCGTGCGTTTTTCAATGCATTTTCTACCATGCATAACCACGACAGCGGTACCTGCCCATGCGCAGCGTATGTTTACAGCTTGTTGAATAGTCGAGTAGAAGTCGAACCGCTCCCTATGTGCTTTTTTAATACCATTGAGATGGTACTCTGAAACCTCTGAAACCGCAATGTACGCGACCATCTAAACTTTAAGGTATAGGGGTGAACTACCTGTCGATAGCGAGCTGTAGTTTAAAAATAATTTCTGTTTCCATAAATAGGATGAAGAGGTTTGTTGAAAGTCAAGACATATTGTCTAAACCTTTCTTTAACATTGTCTTTAATACTTTGTTTCCTATGTTGTTCAGTCTTGTAGAATTGTAATTTTTCAGAGTTGCAATGGCAGACTACTTCGCTACTTAGAGTAGGGACAATTATTATTTCTTCTATATATTTCTAGTTATATCTAGAATCCAAGTGTCACATTGCTCCAAATTTGTATATAAGTTCTTATAGAAACCTGTTGCTGTTTTTAATATTTACTTCCTTGTGGTTGCTTTCCTCTTTTTATTCTTTACTAGTGACCCGGCTCGACTTTGTACGGGCGGATGTTTATTTTTTAAACGTTTTAGAATACACATGGAGTAAATATATCTTTACGCAAAATATAAGCAATTTTGTTTTTAAATACATATTTCTGTGCTATTCATAGATGTGCGTCTGTCTCGTCACACGTCTGCCCATGTCTCCCACACTTCGGTGATCCCTTCCTCGTCGTGTTGCTCGCTGCGCTGCGTGGGGCCACAGTGGCCACGACGCGACGGCGCGGCTTCGTTTAAGTTTCTAATATTTTTTTAGATTGACATTTTTAAATTCGTAATATCTTTTAAATGGTCCGTCCGATTTAAATAATTCAAAAGATAATCTACAAGTATTGAAACAATCTTGAATACGAAATGTTTTTATTTGGATAAGGATTAATACAAAGATATGGATAACACAGTCTGATTTTGATCAGCATTAAAGTAATAATAGTGACATAACTACAATAGATGGGCATATAGTATGACGAGATTTTTGGAGATATTGATAAATTTTTTTATACTGTGAAGATTATTCTGTTCTATCATTAATGGTTTCCGCATCGCATTCGATGAAAGACATTTTTTGGCAATTTTATAGTTTTATATATTATAGTTTTAGTAGGTAATCCGTATTTTTTCTAATAATGATGTATGTATATAACCTATATTACTCAGAGATAATGTAGTATTCTAATGGTGAAAGAACTTTTCTTAAAAAATACATATCCATCAAACTGCATTAAAAAATATAAATCTATTTTATCAATGATCCGTATTTTTATTAATTATTAAAAATTGCTCATTCTCCCGTCATTATTATTAACATGGTCCATTTATTACTGGGTAATTGAATATCAGAGGGAGAATGTATTGATTGTAATGAACATTGGATTCTTGAAAAATATAGGATACATACATTGGATCAACATAATAAAAATATTGTCATATTGCACATTGATTGGGATCGACGTTATTGAATGCTAGGCAGTGTCTTTATATCATTATCCAACGCTCGTCATTAATTGTTATTTTATTCAGTTATTATATCATTCGTAAAATCACCGCTTCCCAGAAAGCAGATCAATTGGGTAAATATTAAACAAAAGGAACTCATACGAAATCAAACTAATAACAAGGGATGCGTCACTAACCTTAGAAATTATCTAAATGATTTAGACAAGTCTTTGTCAGGTAAACGACTTACAGTTACGCTTAAATAAAACGGACAAATTATATGACCAATATTATGAAGTCCAAACTATGTTAGAGTGCTTAGTTGATGACATCGAGGCTCAGATTTCAAATAGAGCTAGCTTTGAGACTAAACATAAGTTGATTGCGCAGGCTCAGGATTTAATTTCTATAAACTCACAGTTAAACCAATCACATTTATCTGATTCTGATTCTATTAAAAATCCCCGTCAGTTATATTACAATTACGTTATATTGCCGACCATCCAATTATCAAAGTTCTTACGAGCATTAGATGGAGTACCATGATATCTTTACAAGTATTATTCATAGCAATGATTCTATACCAGATATCAATACATTCCATTATCTAAGGTCATCATTGAAAGGATGCGTAGCTGTAGTAATATAATCCATTGATTTTTTGGCATATTAGTTGAATGGCAGTTATTATATGATAGATTCAATAATCGACGTCTGTTCATTCAAAGTCATATTTCCATATTATTTAATATTACTTTTATTAAGAAGAGGACTTATGCCTCATAAATTATATAATTATATATCCTCGTAAGTGGGAGTCAGTTAAATGTCAAGTGGGTCAATCAAAAACTGTCACTTCAGATTCATTGATCGCATTTTTGCAAAACAGAGCTGACTAACTTGAACCTCTTGAATTGTTAATCCTATGAATAAAGTCAGTGTGAACACCAACTTAAAAAGATTAAAAGCATGTTTTCAATTCAGAGATATTAAACTAGGTCAGCTGACCGCAGTAGTTCTAGATCGATAGATACTTATCCTAAGTGTACTTGTGAGCATAATTCGAGCGATAGTCAACAGTTTATCAAATTTAGTAATAAGGAAAGATTTAAATTACTTGCTGAACTTAATCTGACTCCATACTAGAAGGTTGCGTGTTTATATCACGTCGGGGTCACCAATTATGAGAAACGGGTTGATAATAAAATGCTTAATATTGTAGATTTTCTTTATCTCGTCTACATCGGTTGAAAAAATAAAAACTATATATAAATCAGTATAAAAATATAAAAGGCGGATTATGATGGCCAATAATACGCCACTAGTATGTTTTAAGTGTTTACGCAAGGGTCACTTCGCTAACCAATGCTATAAAAGTAAACGCAAAATATGTTAACGAAAGCATAGTACATTAGTTCATATAATAATCTCCAGCGCGCTACCCGACACAAGGTTTCGCTTCCGTCAGCTTCTCCATTCATTCGTGAAGATATAGTAAATTGTGACATTCGAAGCCGACAATCGAAGTGTAATGCTGGCCGTACAAATATCTCCTGTTGAGTTTAGTTCTCGCAACGTTTAGATATCTACAGTGCTTATTAAGTTGTGTGACGTTGACGGAAACGAACTCACTGCCCGTGCTGTATTAGATAGCGGTAGCACGTCGTAATTAATGACAGAAAGTACTTATAATAAATTAAATCTACCATTTCAGTACGTTAATAAATCTGCATTAGACGTGAATAATGCAGTTTCATACGTTAGTAACCGTTAGTTAGTTGGCCGTGTGGTCCCGGCATAGAACGGGCTACCCTTTTCGTTCCCGTAAGTGTCGTAAGAAGCGACTAAGAGCAAGAGATGGGCAGCAGCGTCCTTCTTAAAACATTTCTAAAGTTTAACTGCGGTTGCCAATCCGCCTGCCAAGCGTGGCATCTACTAGCTAAACCCCCTAAGGAAAAGGCTTATGTTCAGCAGTGGACAGTTAAAGGCTGATATGATGACGATGATGACACGTTAGTAAGATGTGTGATGTCACTCTAATATCAGTAACTACAGACTATTCAATGTTTTATTTTGCCATTTATTACTAACGACGTGCCATATACTAACATATATTTCGGGTCTTCATATTCCAATTAATGTTGTTGTTATGTTGTGCAACCCTAACTTTTCCGCGTTATGCCGAGAATATTTAATTATTGATGCTGATTTATTTTGGAATCTATTGAGTCAGAAAAGATTCTAGTTAGAAATAGGAAAATCTATTTTACATGAAACCAAACTAGGCCGGCTAGTTTCAGGGCACGTTAAAACTTATATTTGCCAAAACTGCCTATTATTACTATCCTAGTTCAAAGAAAGCCCAAATGACTTTCTATCCACTACAGACAGAGTGAACAATTCTTCACCCAGAGTTCGGTTCATTAACAGTAAACTCATTGCAGTCAATTCATGATATGAACCAATTGAGTGGCCGAGATATATTAAGTAAAGAGATAACTAATAAGTTGTGGCTCTTTACTTCATACGTACAGATGAGGTGTTGCTACTAAATTAACAGCTACATCTGCTAATTCGACGGGAGTATATACTGATGCAATTAACCAACTGTGTCGGTAGGTTAGGAGTTTAATATCCAATACAGCAATTCTTTCTGAGATTCCTATAATTTCCTTAAGTAGATTTGATTAGAAACTCAATCCTGAACTGTTTTTTAGTTTCTCCTTTAATGTATAAACTCTTTGTGTTTCTCTATACTGTCTTTCTCGTATGCACTTTGCTGAATCTCATTATGATCAATATATGTCTTGAAGAGCATGCAGCAGTATAATTTTTTTTTTAGATGTCGTGATTAACTTTGTGTTAAATGTTGACGCACACACTTTTTAAAAATAGAATTTAGAAAATTTTATAAAAGAATTACTTCTGCCATGTCTTGTCATTCTATACATTCCCTTTTTAATATATTTATTTTAGTTGTAGTTTTAGTAGTATGATTATTTGTTTTTATAGAGTTTTGTAACGGTAAATGATGGTGATCATTAGTCCCCCAGAAAGCAGCTATATCAGAGCCTATATTTTTACTAAAATTCGTATAATAATAAACCTGTAGATATGTTAAAAAAATTGTGTTCCTTTGCAACTTATTAATATCCCACTATTGAGGTCAGATAAAGAGTCTCTCCCGACAAAAACGCTTGGTTGTAGTGCAGAATTGTATCTCTAGTTTTCCTTCCTTTACATTTGCACCAGTAAAATACACTAGCACTAGATTAGCTTTGATATTGTAATATATAATTTATTCAAGACCACTAAAATACCTTAGGCAATTTGGATACTGTAGTTGGTTGTGAAGATTCCTCATTATCACTGTCGTCAGATAACTCGGAGATAGTGCCGTGGAGATGGCGCCATCGGGCCAAGATGGACTTGCGTACGCTGGCGAAGACGGCAAACTGCGACGGGTTACCGAGAAGTGCCGGCGCATAACACATGGGTATCGCGTTCGCGGCTTTCTGTCTACGCTGCTTCTCTTTCTTACCCAATTTTCGTGATTTCTTTTCTATTTTCCTAAAATGGAAATGAATATTTATTTATTTATTTACTTATTTAACTCTTTATTGCACCATAAATAAAAATATACAATGACAAGTGAATAATTCAAGTGAAATACAATAACATAAATACAGATTGAAATATACACATAAAGGTACAAAAGGCGGTCTTATCGCTAGGGCAATCTCTTACAGACAACCTTTAGTTAAAGGAAAACAAATAGAAAAGGGCAGGTGGCGCAAGAGTGAATTAATAATTTAATTATTAATTAATAATTAAAAATTTAATAAAATATATAGCTATTGGAAATGACTTATTAACAGAACGGGCTTAACTCTTTCCTATCTGACGGTACAAATTTGTATCGGGTGATTCCCCATCCATTATTTCGATAATACGATCGCGCATTCCATATTTGACATTAAGGATCCTTTCAAGTACTACTACGCTAGCCAATCACAGTGATTTATTTCAATTTTGCCTATTTACCGCTAGCAAGTGACACTTTCAAGTTTCGACCTGTTTCGGATTTGAGAACTGCAGATTGCTTTTGTTTTAGAAAATATTTAAAAATAGAATAAACGAGGTAAGTCTTATTGTTTTATATTAATATATTACATTGTAGTTTTAACTATAAAATTAATATTGTTTTAGTTATAAATTTAAATTTTAGAGCTAAAATAACGATAAAAATGTACCAGGACTTATGAGTACCGTCAGTGACTATGGTTTGTTTTTTGTAAATTAGATCGAATATATTATGATATTTGTTTATCTTATATTACAGATTTTTATAATGAATATTTCAAAGAATACAGCTTTGATAGAAGATCTTTTTATGGAAGATCTTCCAGACTGTGCCGACACTTCAGATGTGGAATTTTCTGACGAAGAAACCTTTCGCGAAGAACGACTACCCTCAACTAGCAATTTTGATGAAAATTTTGAGGCAGCATTAGAAGAATATATTCTGAGCCAAACTAAACCTACTACAGGATATGAGACAGAAGATCCTAGTAGGGAAATAGACCAAGAGCTAATTGTATATTCTATTCCTAACACTATTCCAGATAATTTACCGGCTTAGGAAACTGTTACGTCAACAGATGCACAATCCAAAAAAACAAAACATGAGCCTAATCGTAAATGGAAGAAACGTGATGTGGAAACGTATTTACCAGAATATTCTGCAAACATGGGGGTCGTTGACGAATATTTTGCTGAATGCACTACGCCGACTGACATTTTTTTAGTCCTGATTAGTGATGTACTGGATAATATTATGTATCAAAGTAATTTATATGCAACACAAAGAAATAAATTTCTCAACTTGAAAAAGAAGAACTACTGGCTTTTATCGGAATGAACTTCTATATGGGGTACAACACTCGGCCTTCATGGACAGACCATTATTCATCGGCACTTGATTTGAATAACCCCTTGATTTGTAAAACTATGCCTAGAGATAGGTTTGCAGCTATTTTGAGCCATCTTCATTGCAATGACAACACGCAAATGCCTTCCAATTGCAAAGATAAATTATATAAAATCAGACCTTTCATATCAAAAGACCCTGTGCTTAGTCCTGGGCCATCTAAAAGGCGCAAAACTGGCTTCTCAACGTTGAAAGACGTTCGATTAGGAAACCGCGGTGTACATTGGCCTACGTTTGTGCCAAATAGAGGGCGATGTGAAGTATGCAGCATGAAGAAAGTGCAGTCAGAACCTCACTCAAAATGTTCTCACTGCAATACATTTTTGTGCATAAATGAAAAAAAAGAATTGTTTTACAGAATATCACGATGTTAATGTATAATTGCTTTTTAATTTTATTATTATTTGAGCCAAAAATAAATATCTAATGTTTCTATTTTATCAGTCCTTTTTTTACCTAAAGTTTCTGATGGTACTTATAAGTCTAGGTTACGAAAATAGTATCTAGATATAATAAATAAATCTGAAAAAAAAAATATTAGTTTTCTTTACTACCCCTTATCCATACAGAATCATAAAAACTTTGTTTTTCATTATTTTTGGTATATTCGCTAGGAAAGGGTTAATGATGTTCTGTTACATTCGATGAGAGACTCTGGCAAATAATAATTTAAAAAAATATATTTAATTTTAGATATCAGGACAAGCTTTTCTTTGTATAAAATTAAGTAACAGTAATATTTACGTCTGTTCATTATTTCCTTCCCATCATCTGGCTGTTATGCCAGTGTACTTAAAAGTTTAATAAATTGACTGTAAAATTCTCTAATATATTATTTCTGTGTGTGTGTGTGTGTGTATAATATACAAACAAAAAAATAAATGGATAAAAATATTTTTTTTTAAATTGATGATTTACATACAAACTCAAATTTATAAATTCACATACAAATTTAAAACTTCAATTATAGATTTGTATGTGAATGTATGTGGTGGACTAGGAATTAGATATCATATTTTATTGAATTTATTTTTATTCTACTTATTATTATAGTTATTTCTATATATTCTGTCATATAATGAGATATCAAGTCTATTTAATTGAGAAAATCCTAAATTTCAGAATCTTGTTCCTGTACTAATTTATGTTTGTTGTATATAAAATGACAGCTGTAAACTGTAGACTGTAAGTTTCAAATTCCTACCTTTAATTTTTTTTATGATACATAGCAATAGCAATCAAGCTGACACCCAACCAACGGAAAATATTTATATGAAAATAGTAACTACATCTGCCCTATTGGTATATGATGACGGAGTTCTAGTGAGGGGTGGGTTGTTAAAGTTGGAAGCAGATCTATCAACCCATCATAACCAATTTATCAAAAATTAACCGAAACGTTTTGCAGGGGAAACTGTGTAGAGATCGCCCTGACCAGATATATTGTTAGTAGTAGAACCACTAGTCCTCATTACTGACAATCCCTTTTCTTTCTCTGAATATCCTATTTTTTTACTGGATGATAATAAATGGTTACCCCAGAAAAGAAAATAAAACACTAAAGATATACACTGGCGGAATACCAATGAGAAATAATTGATAACGATGAAAGCAGGTTAGTTTGCCCATCATAGCAAATTCACATAGTCCAGCATAGAATTAATTGAAATGGTTTCCAGGGAGAGACCACATGGTGATCATATTACTAGGTATAAGAACAAACTTCCTGATTAATAATAATCTTTCCCGCTTGATCACACTATTTTTTTAATCGATGAGAATTGTAATCTTGCCTGTGCTAATATAAGACACTGGCAGAACATTAATGAAGGATGCTAGAAGAAAATTAAAATGCAGGTCAGTTGACCCACTGTAAAGAATAAACCTGGAATTCAGCATGATGGTTTCTTATTGATAGGATATATTACTAGCAACGAGACTGGTAATTTGCATTACTTACAAACTCATCCCTCCCTGACTACCCTATTTCAGACTGTCGTCATGAGAATGACCAAGATATTGCTTATACAATATTATTTATTTTATAACACAAACAGTTCCCAATCAATACCATACCTTGTGCCACTCCAGCATAATGCACGGAAATATTTTCTGTAATTCTCCGGTTCCATGCATTTTAGCTCTGGCACCTGTGCCTTCAAAGCCATGCTGGTAGATAGCCCTTAGTTCTGAAAATATAAGATTATGGAACGAATTCTAAATATTGTAAATATTTTTAAAAACATAAATAAAAAATTCGCATTATTTGCATAAAACAACACAAACAATCGCTTAGTAGCTAATAATAGGAATAAATATTTATCCACAAAAAATATTCGAAAAGGTTAATAAAAAACAAATGCATTTTGTTTATTAACTATAATTTAACATTTACACCAGGTAAATGCTATCAATTATTTTCTTATATTGTATCCATTGGTACCGCTTACACGACGAAACTATTTTACGAATTATATGAGAAAATAATAAAAACAACACAATATTCTTAACATACAAAGATTCGCAATCGCTATAAGAAAATAAATTTATAATTCGACACTGTTTCTGCTATTTAATAATAGAATAATAAATTTTTTTCATAGACGTTTTTCTGTAAATTTACACCGCACTTTGCAACAATATTTCTGTAGTAATTATACAGCCATCAATTTGAACTTTGCTAAAATATACCTTAATTTTCAGTAGCCACATTGTCTTTATTTTCACATAATAAAATTATTTTTCTTCAATTTTATTTAATAGAACAGGTTTTCGCAGAAGTTTGCGGCAATATCAAAAATCAATAACGATTGGCGCGTAGTGTTTGAGCGAAACGATAAAGATAGTAAAAACCGGCGGCCAAGGCTAGAATCGTATGATATTTATAATAATCGATTATAAACATTTGACTTTAGTTTTGTTAATTACTCGAATCAAAGAAAGTTTCGATTAAAGCATAATGAAAGGAATAAGAACAATTATTTTAATCAATTTAGTTATTTACACAAAATAAGTTTATTTTGTTAATTGAAAATATTTTATGGTATTAATTAGTAAAATAAAAGAACGATTTCAATATCTATTTTAAATAATAAATTCGGCATTTTATATTAGTAGAATAATAAAATTAAAGAATTATTTATAGATAATGGACACTCTTTCCAGAATTTTTCGTTTTAATATAATAAAAAAATTATAGTTATGCTTAGAAGAATAATTTCAATGCACTTGACGTGCATAACGGTACCACCTATTTCACGTAACTTATATTCACTAAATACGTATTAACTCATTGGTCTGCAGTTTTTTTCGTCGTCCATGTTGTTTTGTTTAATTTTTGTTAAATTGTGTATGATAAATAAATGATAACATCTATGATCTAAGAACTTCCACTCCTTAAAAAGTAAAATAAGGGATAAACAATTGTTTTCAAAGTTAGAAGTACGAAGTTTTGTATACAAAAATTTATATTTTCTATTAAATTTCTATTTAGAAATAAATAAATATCTATTTCATCATTTTTTAAAATCTGCCCATTAAGAGGGTCAAAGAAAGGTTGGCGGTACATATGAGAGTCAGTTCTTTTTGAAGTAAATAAAATAAAATTTAATATTCCAGCAAAAATAAATGTATATTTCGTCGATTTTAGAATTTCAATCCCAATCAGAAGGAATGGTGTGGAAACATTTGTATAAAATGAGGCTTGAAAGTTGACATAGTAAGTTCGTTAGTTTTGAAGTAAAAATATTTAAATTTAATATAACAAAAATATAAACATACATCTTTTGACTTTTTTGTATCCCTAAAAGGAAAAGTAGGGTAGAAATATTAATATACAAATGTTTACAAGTGATACCCTTAGTGTTGCGGATATCTACAGTGACTGTTTATCACAAGACATGCTGTATGCTTATTTGCACCTTTCGGTATAAAATCAAATATTTTTATACTGAAATGTTATTATGACGGAAGTTTTGAATAATATTAAAAAAAAAAACTTGATTAACTACAAGTAATGCATGTAGACTAATATTATTTAATTTAATATATGATAAGAATTCATATGCTCATAGAAACTGTGATTGGGATACATTTTCCACATACAGGATTGTTCAAACAAAAAACCTTTATTAGAAATGAAAAAAAGTATTATGGAATTATTTTATTATTTAGTTCATCATAATTTATGGTTAATCAACATTAAAAATTAAAGAAGCGTCATCTGCGAACAATACTATGCTACATCTATGTTGCATGACAAAAGCGAGATCGTTAATATAAATTTATATTTCTCGGTGACGTGCATAGTCATGTTTCGCGTACCTCGAATAATCTTCGAAAACTCTTTGACATAACTCCGTATACTATATCAAATCCTTCTCCGGTCAGGTTGTGTGACGCCTATGGAACTCGCTACTATCTTCTATACGGAGTGCCCAATCCTTAGTTTTGTTTAAAGGACAACATTTTATTTCACTGTTTCACTCTTTAACTTTCTTCTGTAATATTTTACCTGGATTTGTTATACGAGTATTTCCTTCTTTGTACTATGTATAAATTTATATTTGTACGTATATGTAGTATATATTATTTGTTATAAGTAGTTTAATAAATAATATTGATTGTTTATATTTATTTACGTTGTTTATTTTTATGTTACTGGTGTAATCAAGAGTTAAATACATAAATAAACTAAAAACATGAAAGGCCCCAGAATAGACCCTTGAGGTACACCCATTGAGACACAAGTGATGCGTTAGATGTAATGCTATTTACTTCAAGATCTTGAACACTATTTGACAAATATGAATCAATTAAGTTTAAACCATTGTCTTTAAAACATCATAAAAAGATAGTTTTTTTTTTTCAGCAATGTCTCCAATACGATGATCCATACGATCGGAGATAATATAGATCATAAAAACACGCCAATCACATCCCTTTTATTTTCTTAGTCAGTACAAATGTGTTTTAGTAACTTTGCACCTGTATGGATAGTTGATCGCTCTTTACAAAATTCAAATTGAAGGTTATGAATTAATTCGTTTAAATTAAAATAATTAACTAATTGATTTAACATAATTTTAAACAAAAATTTGATTCAATTCAGGATGAACAGAAATGGACCTATAATTTACTGGATCATCTTGAAAAACCGGTATAATTTTAGTAAATTTCATTACATTAGAAAACTTACCGTCATCTGCGTACGTATTAAAATAAAAGCTAGAGACGGCGCAATAGTTTCAATTATACTACCAAGTATTTTAATAGATAAATAGATATATTTGGATATACCCCACAAATCCTCAGTTTTTTTTTTATTATCAAGTAATTTAATTTTTTTTTTTTTTATATATCTACTTTATATGCATAAAACTAAATACAGCTGATGGCTTGCTAACATTTCCCGTTACTAAAGCTTCAGCCGCAGATACGAAAGGATTGCAAATGGTATATTAGTAAAAATTCTCTGTACCTTTAATACTGATATTAATTATATTATTAATATTTAAAACAATTTTATTATCATGAGCCTTATCCAAATAGGTTTAATTTTATTTATAGAATTATTAATTATTCTACAATGTACTGTAGTACAAGGACTCAGCTGTCTTGCAAACTCAATTACATGTTTTTCAATATGATTTTACATACTCTTTTATCTACTAAAATTTTTTGAAGTCGTTCTAATTTATTCAGCAAGTTATTCAGTTTAGGCTTGGATAAACGATATGAAAACATGATAATAATAATATTAGAGGAAGTATGAAACTAGCGCCAATGGTAGAAATGATAAGCTGTAACTGTCTATCTTGATATAGACATGAAATGCTCAAGGATGAGGAGCATGTTTATAAGGGCAGATGAAGACATATAAAGACATTGATGGACTATGTAAATTTTACATAGTCCATTAATATCTTTATTGTCTTTTTACATTGTAAAAAATGATATATATATAATAAAAGAGAAAAAAAAAACATATTATGTCGACCCCAATATAAAATCAGTATGAGGATGATGAATATAATGAATTTCATTTTATAATATTTTCTGCTATTCAGAAACAAAATTGGTATCTTTAATTTCTTACCAAAGCGTTGATTAGTTTTTGACGTTTATCGGATGAAATCGGTTTTCATTAGTTAAACTTATGTTGACGACCCTAGCGCGCCATTGTGGTTGTTCGTTACAGTTTCTGTGTCATTTTGTGTCCAGTTTGTGTGTTTTTATTAAGTTTTAGGGCAGTAATGAATATATTTTTTACAAATATTTTAGACGAAAAAATAACAGTGACAATAATGCGTGCCGAACCTTTTATACCTGACTAATTGACACCTTTGAGTCATCACGGTTAGTTCAAATTGATACTGAGGTTATTTGTTGTGACATAGGTAGCTATATCTGCCATAATTTGTCATCAACGTTTATTAAAATTATCTTGTGGAATGTTGAGTAGGTTTTAATTTGCTTACAATTGTTGTGCAGCTTGTTCTCTTAAGCATTTGTGGAACTGTTTCATTGTGTTTGACGTCCGTATGATCCATCGGTCACCTTAGCGTTGGTCGCTTCTTTTCGTTTAACGACTTGAAATCTTTGTTTCCTGCCAATAAAATATTCTAACTGTAAGCTATTGCATAAAAAGTATAATTTTACATGCTTTCTATTACTCATGGTATGCACCCACAGCAGTAAAATTTCTTTGTGATGATCTGATGGCGTCTTACGAATTAGAAATTATGTTCTATCATAGGTCAATTCAACTGTATCTTGACCAATGTTATAAGACTGGTTAAAAAGATGGTTTGGGTTGGTTAAAAAGACGATTGGGAAAATTATTCATGTCAATGAAAAACACAAAATCTTAGTTAAATTACTCATTGAACTATATTTGACTAGTGTAAACATTAGTAGCCTAGAATTCTAGTAAAATGATTTATTTATAATATTAGGAAAGCAGTCACTTTAAACAATATATATTAGATATTTTTGGTTTTTGAATCTGTTGTTGTTTTATGAATTAATAATGGAAATATTCAACATTCCTATGATGTCTTTAATAAATTATAAACATTTCAACCTTTATAACTTGTAATATAAACAATATTTATAAATATAAAAATATATGTATATTGTTATAATTAAAAAGTAATAGACATTTATTCTATTATATTCTATTATATGTCCCTATCATTTATCTAATATTCTTTATTTATTCTAAAAATATTTATATTAATACATGATTTTTAGTATATATTTTTGTAATATTTATTCACAAATATTATTTAAAATCTATAGAAAATATTCCAATAAGATATTAGCCACAATTTTGTGCATGTAGAGAGTACATGAATATATATCTGACAACTAGTGTCAAATATGTATATTATAAGATATTCTAAAGGCCTTTAATATTATTTTAAAGAGTTTTAGAATATGTTCTAGTAAGAGTGTATCATAATTCCACAAAATAATAAAAATTCTAGTTAATAATAGTAATATGTATGTATATATTTCATAGTTTATTATACCATTAAATAATAATAATATTTATTTAACTCTTGGCATGCTATTTTATCAAAATTATAGTTTATAATGTAAAAAATTTATTTATTTATTGTGTTATTTTTAAAGTATGTTCCCAATTAAAAGATATTCTGAGATTATTTATTAATTGTGCTGAATATAAAATTATACATCACAGTATCTATCTATTATTTATTTCAATTTTATGGTTTTCTTGTATAATTTTCTACATTTACTATAACGATAATAGTTAATGAACACTATTGATTAACCGATCAGGGAAATACAGTTGTGTCTATTTTTATTTTTATATGTTTATGTTTTATTCTCTGTGGTTTGTGATGTGTAACCATAGTGTATGTGGTACAACAGTTAATACTGTTATTCTTATCGCCATATGTCAGTCAATCAAGTTCTTATTTTTAAAATTATATTGTTAATAAAGCTAATCAATGTTACTTTTATATTCATGCACTCAAAAATAAATCAGTAAATGCATGCTTGTGTATTAATAGCAATCATAAATTGAATACCATATTGTATTTACAATGAATGTTTTATAATAACATATAAAACCATATGATTGTTTTATGTATTATATGAATATGACATTTATTACATTTATATGCTTTTATCTCTTAATTTGTTGTTGTTAAAACGATTATTGATTTGTTTATCACTTTTAAGTATCAATCAAATATTGTCAACATTGTTAGTTATGAATTAGTTATATGTGTAACATGTTTGATTATCAAGTAATTTATTAGGAATATTAGTTGCTATTTATAGTTTACTGAGAGTAGATTTTTACATAACTACTCAAAAGATAATATTTTCAAGGTTTATCTATGTAAGTTAGTCTATTTCTTGATTTCCACATTTCAGTTAAGTCAGTTGTATATCATATCAGCCATTGTTCACTGCTGAACATAGGCATCCCCCTATTGGGGGGTTTTGCCAGTGGTTGCTTTGCTTGGCAGGCATGTTGGCAACCACAGTTAGGCTTTGGTGTTGTGTTAAGAGGGATGAGCACCTAGTTACAACACCCATGGGAAAGGAAGAGGTGGAATTCTATTCCGGGTTCACATGGCAAATTGTATGAATGCCAATAATTAAGGTTTTTTTTTTATTGAATATGGAATGCTGACATCCTATTTGATGTAAAATATAGATATGAGCAGCACCATGCTAACAGCATAGGGTTCATAATAAGGGTGAATTGCTTACACTTATTAGTCAGTTATAGTGTCATAGTATAGGTGATACATAAAGTCTAGCTAATGCAAAAGAACTTTTATTTAAATATAATTGTATGTACTCATGAAACCATAAAATATCATAAAAAAGAGTTCATGAATTTCCCAAAATTAAATTCTTTTACTATAAGTTACTTACATTGATATATTTTGTTGAAACAGGCTTCTCTAGGGCGGTCCCTGAGGGGCAGCGATGGAGGTTGGGGCGCGAGCCCTGGATGTTCTCCCGCTACTGCAGGAGCGGGTGGCGGCTTTGACCGGTGGACGGGACCGCCGCGGTGGCCCCATTATATGGTTTCCGGCCAATTCGAGGCGAGATCGCGTCGCCCCAGATGACTATAGGCGCCTGCTCCATTATTTAATCAGTATACCCAGGTAAAATTATAGCAGTATTCAATTCTACATGGCTCTACATTTATTGAGATAGAAAGATCTCTAATTCTCTTATCCAAAAAAAGTATTGTGTATCAAAATTAATTCAATAGTACATTTTGTAATTTTATTTTTACTAAACTAATAGGCATTGATGCAACAAGGTACCAAATTTATATGGTAAATGCATTCTGAGATAAATGCCTATGTTATCATACAAATAAGTGATTTTAAAAAACTTCAGGCTCTTTATGGGTATGAACTTTATAAATTGTTGCTTTTATTTTATAAATTAATTTTATAAAGCCCTTGGAATCTTTGTGAATTCTAATTTTAAAAAAATATTAAATGGGTTTTAAATAGATATCTTTATTGTTTCCTCTAAAAGATTACAATAGTAAACTTTTTAACAAGGGTTTTAGTACAGAGAAGGATCATTATACAGGATATATAGAATTCATACATTAATCGTAATTCACGTGGGGATAGCCTGAGTTCAGCTAGCAAATAAATAAGTGGCATACAATAATACTAATTGCCTGGTTTTCTAAGATGTGTTTTGTTATGAAAGACTTGTTTCACCAATCCAGTAAACATCTCAGAATACCACTAAAAATACCCAGACTAAAGTTAATTTTAAAAAAGGTTGTTTCACCAATTGGCTTAAACCAGATTCGAATCTGAAACTTATGCAAAGCAATTATATTTATTAATGTATCATGGAGTCTATGATAATATGTTTTGTTTTTGCAGTGATTCAGTCAGATCACATGGCTTTACAATCTTAATAGATATGAGAGGTTCAGCATGGGCAGCAATAAAGCCAATCTTAAAGGTTCTCCAAGAACATTTCTCATCATCCGTCCACCAGGCACTAGTTGTAAAGCCGGACAATTTTTGGCAGAAGCAACGCACTACTATAGGAGCCCATAAGTACAAGTTTGATGTAAGTAAAACTAAAATTAGCTAATTAAATTTCTCATATTCATAAAAACTAAAAATAAAAATAAATATCCAACATGTTTTAGCTATTGTGGTATACTGCCCCGTTCTTTCAAGCTGAATTCTCAATGGTAAAGAAAGTGAAAACACTATGGTTACAATAACTCCATAGATTTTATAATTTTATATGTATACTAGCTTTTTGACTGCTATTTCTTATCGTGAATGTCAGAAGTACGAAAAAATAAATGATAATTAATTTTGACCACTATTCTAAGGGGTACTGATAAAATATGCTTTAGGGGTTGAGTTCGACCTTTAGGGTCACAACTATGAAAACTACATCTATTTTGGTACAGTAATTTTCGCATGATGCCAGAACGATAGACAGAGAAAATTCTAAAAAATATAATTTTGGCATCTATTGGTTCCATTAAGACCCTCCATATTAATATTTCTCCATATAAATATCTTTTATGTGCTGACATAATTTAAATATAATTTTAATATATTAGTATTATAAGATGAATTTTTACTGTTACTGCTGTTACTGATGAAAAATTTGAACATGTACTTGGACTAATTGTAATGTTGATACATTTAACTGTTTTGGTTTCAGACAACAATGATTAGCTTAGAAGCACTACCAAAAGTTATAGATAGTTCCCAAATGACAGCAGATTTAGACGGCACTCTACCGTATGATCATTCACAGTGGATTGACTTAAGATTGGTTAGTACAAATTTTTCTGTTGCAAAAATCGTTCTAAAAATATTGGCGTTAATATCAAATACATTATAGTGGTTACTTTAACATATTTCTACTAATAAAGATTTGATGGTTAAAAATTGTGAGTCTATAATAAAAATAATAAAATAACCCACGTCATTACACTTCATATCACTTTGAAACATCAAAGTATTCTGCAGTACTTATTACAAACAATTGCTATGAAATGAATGTTATACAAACATTGCAAGTGAAACATTTGATTGTCAGTTGAAGAGGTGCTGCTCATGTCATACTATCAATGTTCACTAAGTAGCAGCAGCATTCATTTCCATTTTAAAACTAGTAATATTAAATTATTTAATAATTTATTTGTAAGTGAGAAGAAAGTATTCAAATTTAAGCAAAAAATATGTCAGTTTTTAAATTTAACTCAAGTGGTAAGTAAATATTTAACAGTTTAAATAAATATTTTACCTGTTAAATAGGCACTCGAAGAACTGATGTGGCAAGCAGGTGAACTGCTTGATAGGCTAGACGATCTGCAAGAGGATGTCGCTCGGGCCGATTTCGCTGATGACGTGACGGGTGCCAGGAGAGCCATTGACGCACATGCGGATATTAGCAAACGTCTCTCCAAGGTCCCTGTGGATGAACTTGAGGCACAGGGTAATTATCATTTTGGTTAGTCCAGGCATATCTGAACTTAGTGACTTGGACATTTCCCACTTTGCTGTAAAAGTTCTATCTACAATCACTTATTATTTTATTTTCCAGTTGTGTCCTGGGGTTTTGTCTATATTAGTAGCATACATATTCCTTTAACAAATGTTCTACCTCTATACCAAGTTTTTATTAAATCCGTTCAGCTAAATGTAGAATTAATATAAGAAATATCTTTACAAATTTTTACCTTTATAATATTAGTGAAATTATGTGATAGTATCATATTCTTTTATCAGATGATGATATTAGTGAATTTACAGGGAATAGAGCACAGTCCTCAGGAATAGCAACGCATGGGGGTATCATGGGCGAAATAGTATACTCTGTTATTTCCATGGTACTGCTCATGTCTGTAGGCGACAATTCATTCTCAGTTGCATAGAAAAAGATTCTGTAGAAGACAAGTGACTGTAACAATTAAGATATAAAAAATCTTAACATTATTTTAATTATAAAACATTCACGTCAAATATAGACTTAGTGGAAAAAGCATCTATTACGAAATAATGCAGTTCAGCTTATTGTTCAGAGTCATTAAGGCTTATTCATACACATCGTTCCTGGTACATTCTCTAGTGAAAATGGAAGCCATTATCTATAAACTTACTACTCTAATGGGCAATCAGAGACCTACATTGCCTTGACTGTTGTCAGTCTAGCGCCCAACTCTGTTTTGCTGTATACAATTCTGTCCTATGATCACTGGTCAGTCCCTATACATATTGGGATACCTTGAAAATGTATCTAACACTGAGAAATTAATAATAATATATGTGTATTTAATATTACAGGACATGTGTATTGTCTGTAGTGTCCCTGGTTTATCTGCATATTCCATAAAATTTAGACTCTTAATTTATTTAGTAGGCGTTCGTCTTTTCAAAAAAAGAAATATTTGTATTCCTTTATTATTATTTTTTTTATATTACGCGATCACTTTGTCAATTTTAATTTTGATAATTGATAAGATTTACAATGACTGTTAAATTAGTTGTTTTTGTTTTACACACATGATTGGGCGTTCTAAAATAAATAATTTTTATTTTTTTTTTCACGATTAATTTTTACTGGATGGGTTACTATTTATTTATATTTTATTACTAGCTTTTAACTGCGAATACGTAATCTCTATGTTCTCCATCCCATATAGTATAATATACCAAATTTCATAGTTGGTTCAGTTATTAAGAGGCTAATAGGTAACAAATAAACTCACTTTCACATTGATAATATTAGTAAAGATTATGTGGATGGACGTTTATTCAGCGTTCATGGCTGAACGGCTGCAAACCAGTCGGCCCTTGGCTAAGTGCATATTGTATAACGCGGCGTTTCAGCGCGTGCGCCGCAGTAACACATTACAACATGCCGAGGGATGTTCGTGTTTAGTGTTACAGTACCGTCCAGTTGCCGAAATGTGTTTTGACTGTTTGTGGTGTGCGTGTGACAATGGTATTACTTGTTTTAGTGTATAATAGTTATTTAATTTTGTAACAATTTTTTTTCGAAAATGTTTATTAGACGTATTTGTTGAATTTACTTGCGTTATTATTACTAATATTATAAATGTGAAAGTGGATTTGTTTGTTGCCTCCTGGCGCTTTAACGGTTCAACTAATGGTCATTAAATTACCGTTTAAAAACCAATTAGAATATAAAATAATCTATGTGTTAATCCAGGTTGTTGGTAGTGCTTGTTTACTTTACTCTGTAAGTTTTTGGTTATTTTTTATATGATGCAGAGACCTTAGTTAAGTCTAAGGAAGCATCTCGATAGGAAGATAATTAGAGTGTCCTCTATAAACAACAATTCTTCTTCAGAGATAATATAAAATATCCTTGGGGTAGCGTAGGCACTCTCACATAGTGTGGGTTCTTAACATAAAGTTATTTTGTTATGGCCAGTGAGGTTACTTTAACTCTATATATCGTTGATAAAGCCTCATTTGCTACTGCTTCCATCCATTATTTCATTCCATATGACTGTTGAGTTAACGAGATTATACATATCAGAATATGCCTGAACTAACTCATTTACTAACATGTCCATTGTGTTCCTTATAACTCTGTTTATAAAGGAATACAAACAATTTTTATATTATTCGAACTATCCTGAGAAAAAAAACAATGAATATTCGAATATCAAAATTATCGAATAGTTACAAGCCAGCTGGCTTGATGTAGTCTTTTATTTTAAGTCAACTTTTTCATGCATCGATGTATTGTTTCATATGCTTAATCGCTTCTTAATTAAGAAGAAAAGAAGTGAGGACACATTTCATTATTTATATTTTATAGATATATACTAAATAATTGGATTAAGTAACACAAAAAACTGTCTTATTGTAAATTAATCTTTTTCACATATTTTTTTAAATAGAGTTCATTGAGAGAAAAGTTTAATGGTAGGTGGCGCACTTTAATATTCATCATTGTCATAAAAATGATATAAAATTCGTCGTACAGGTGAACGCGTTCTTCAGCGGTTGGAAGCAGCTGAAGCGGCGAGTGCGGAGGCAAGCGGCAGCGGCGGCGAGGCGGCCGCGTTCCACTGCGGTTCACCGAGCGCGGTCCGGGCGCAACTCGCTGCGGTGCGGTCTGCGCACGCGCACGCACACAAACTCTGGCAGCACAAGAAGATGCAGCTCGACCAGTGCTTCCAGTTGCGCTTGTTCGAACAAGACTGTGAAAAGGTATCATTGCTAGTTTGTATTCTCTATATCAGGACATTTCAATTAGTTAAATATTTATTTTTTTATGAAAACTGAGAAATGAAAGCAAAGATGGTAAATAAGCATATATGCTTATTTACCATCTATATAAAATTTATCTATATAATATCTACCATCGATAAAAAATATTAAATGTACTCCAAAGAGTACATTTAATATTTAATACAGTGATTTTTTGTCTGTCTATGCATGTCTGGCTATAGCCAGTCTGACGGAAAATGGTTATTTAATTGTAAAAACAAATGATGGTACATTTTAATTAATGTCTGTAATAAAGATGTTATATTGGTTGTTATTATTATTGTATATGCTGTTATTATGGGACTCATTAAATTACATAAATGAGTTACCATTGTCAAAATTAGTATTTCTCTGTATCTATAAAATAGGATAATTTAGCTATGAAAATGTTTTCCCTTTTAAATAAAAATTTTTAAAACGAGGTTTTAAAGACATTAATATTTTAAATATATTCGTAGGCAGTTTTAATTTTCATAAATAAGGGCATTAAAGTGCAGCTGCAATTTAGCAAATAGTATTCGAAACAGTTAATATTTATATTCTAATAAATATAAGTTTTAAGGATAAGACCTTAACATTGACCTGTTTTGTTAATTAGATGCTCGAATGGATAGTCAACCACCGGACGGCTTTCCTTGCTACGTATGTGGAGATCGGAAGGTCATGTACAGCCGCTAAGCGCTTACAGGAAGAACATGCGAGGTTTGTAAATGAGATAAAGAATATTACATATACTCTTTGAGTATGATTTTTTTGTCTATCTATGCATGTTAATCGGGGTTTTGATGAAAGTATAGTGTTAATACAAATATTTAATTACAGATTCGCGGCGGCGTGTACCGGTGGGGGTCGGCCGAGCGTCGCTCGTGTAACGACCGCCGCGCGACGTCTCGCTGACAAGCGGCATTACGCCGAAACACACATTACTCAACTCGCGCATCGTCTCGAACGAGCATATAAACAACTATCAGCTGGTATGATTGATTGTCTCTATTATGATTGATTTATTTTAATACATAAATAAATATGTGTCACTTCACACCTCAATTGCCGTGTCTTTGATATGGGGTACTATAGGGTATCCTACCTTATGAGAAACCTAGCAACATACTCCTAAGAGTAAGCCTAGAAGACCCAAATGTAAGTGTGTGATTTGACTCAATACGGTAGTAATCCTAGAGCCTCAATTATGCAAAGCAATAAGCACACTACTGCGTTATTGAAGTCAATATATCAAACAGAAAACAAGATGGGATAAAATTAATATATTTTACTGTGTAATGGTAAAAGTTAAGGACATGGAATATAAATATGCAAAATCTATATTCTATGCACCCATGTGTGGAAAATTCATAGTTTATTTAATTTTTTTATAACAAAACTTATTTTATGTAATAAAAGAATGAATTTGCAGATCTTTTAATGCACACAAAATACTTTTGCATACACGTTAACCGTAATACATGCTTTCGTGATAAACTGCTTCCTGATGGGATTTAAATACAAGAGTTTATTACAAGTGGATATTTCTATACATAATTTGTTTAATTCGTTTTCAGATATTTTTTTTTTTATTATATCAGCCGTTAACTATTAACTGCTGAACATAGGCCTTCTTCATAAGAAGGATTTTGCCAGTAGTTGCCAAGCTTGGCATGTGGGTTGGCAACCGCATTTAGCCCTTGGTGAAGTTTTAAGAGGGACGCTGCTACCCAACTCTCGACTTTTACTGGAAAGGAAGGAGTGGCCCATTGTATGCCAGGGCCACACGGTGTATATCCATAATATGTACTTAATCATAATAATAAAATAATGTGTGATATGTAATTATAATAATAAATTAACCTTTTTATTTTAGACATTTGTTAATATTAATTAAAAAAAAGGTTGTAATCATTTTTCTATTTCTTTCTATGGTTGGTTTCATGGATCAATAGTTTTTATGCTATTATCTAATAAATAGAAACTTGATATCAGTATAGAATACATATGATTTCTGTAATTAATAAAATATCTATTATCAGCAGGGAAATCGTTCACACATAATTACGCGTAGTGCTAAATTACCAATAATGTTCATTCATTGTCATAATTAATTGCATGCAACTACATATTGTATTCAACGGTCCTGCGTGAAAAATAGTACTGAAAATAATTTTTAATTGTAACTTTATTAGATTTCTATTGCCATAGAAAGAAATGTATGTGTAAGGGGTATATGTGTATATATATATTTATTTATTATTGGTGCTATTAGACACCTAAATGGTTTGTGGATTTAAAAAAATATGTATTGTTTCATTAGTTGTACTTGTATGGAGTCTTTTTAACGAGTGTTATGGGAAACTAATATTCACTAAGAATATGTTACTGAAAATAAAATAAAAAGGACCACTGTAAATTGTAGAAAAATTATCAAATTAATTTTAATTAAGAAATCTCTAGTTAATTTTTTCGAGTTTTACATTCTCTTTAGACGAAAATTGTACAAAAGTAAAACTAAAATAGCGTGGCTAAAATATCGTTTCAGTTACTATTTCGTAATTTGTATGGTTAAATTCAGTGTCTATGGAATTATTTTAATGCTAAAAGAAGGAACGGTCATAATCGGTATTAATTTTAGTGTCAGGAGTGATATAGTCACCAGTAAATTTTATCATTTTTTATTAATACAATATATAATAGACATGGCTTGCTAATAGGCATTCGTGCCATGAGCCGTCAGGAATGGCAATGCATGGGGGATGACATTATGAGCGAAACAGTGTACTTTGTTATGTCCATGGTACTGCTCATGTCTATAGGCGACGGTTACCACTTTCCATCAGGTGGGCCATCAGCTTGTTTGCCATTCTAAGTTGCATAAAAAAAACAACCAAAAATTATAATGCAGTTTTTACATAGAAGATTAATGGATATTTTTCTAGAAGAAGCATTTTCAAACTAATATTTTATTTTCTTGATAAGACTTAATTTTATCACTCTTTCACAGGACTCGAAGAACGTTCAGCCGTCCTGTCGCTGTCTGTAGTATTTCATCACAAAGCAGAAGCTTACGCGTCGGCGGTGAGCGGATGGGGCGCTCAATGCGCGGTCGCGTTACAACTGGCTACCGGTCAGGGCGGAGCGCCCTGTAACGACCCGAGGGCATTGGAACAACATGCTCAGAGACATAGGCAACTGTATGAACACATGTGTCAGGCTTATACAGAGGTAATTTTACCTTAGTTTAGTTAGAAATGTGTACACATATAATTTCTTTTTTTTTTTAATATTATATAGTCATTTCTTGATTATGATCAGTGGCTTGATTATATGTTGTGAGGATTTTTCTGATATCATGGGTGCCTATGGGTGGCGTTAATAGCTTACCATCAGATGAGTCGCATGCTCGTTTGCACCCTATGTTCTAAAAAGTGTTGATACTCCATACACAGAAAATCTATCCCTGTATAATTATTTTACAGGCGTATTCATGTTAATTTGTTCAAGTACAGAGTTGTTATTTTTCATGACATTGATAGTTTGTTGTTTTAATATGCTTGCACTTATTTATTTCAGTAGATTTATTTATTTATTTATTTATTTGGGCACAGCAACAGTATTACAATTCACATTAAATTAAATATAATGAATTTTATAATTAATTGTTTTAAAATTGTATACCATTAATTGCTACGCACAGCGTTAGCTTATACTAGATTCAACATTATATATAATAACTAATAGATAATTGAAATAATAAGAATTTAGTTCAGACATGTTCTAATGATGTGTTAAAATTTTTCTTCATTTTTGACAGGTCCATTCGACGAGTAAGAAATTGTTGTATCAACTAGATCATTTAGTTCAAGTGTGCCATCAAACTGATCCCGCTGATATGGTGAGATTTACATTAATATCTACAATGAAAACAAGTCATTCAATATATGCCTTTAAAGATTATTTTTATTCATATAATTTCTGTAATTTTATAATAGTTATTACTGATGATGTAACTAAAATGATATTACAGCCTAAAATCTAGTTAAAATGAGGCATGGTTAATATTGGTATCATTCCAATATCTATATATTGCGTTTAGTTCTGAACATTGATGGTAGAAAAAAGGTTATCACCTATTTTCATATTGCCTGTACCAGTCAGATATTTATATTAATTTCGATCGAGATTTTTATTTATATATTGGATAATCGATATTCAATATAGACAACTTTATTAAGGCAATATATAGATACTGTAACTACAATACATAGATATTGTATTATAGATAATTTATCACCTTCTTCAGTCAGTTATTATTATTTGTAAAAATTCTTAATGTTAAGGGAGACATAACAGTAATGCCTTCTATTCTAACAAAGAGTTGTTCCAATAGAGCGAAGGGTCAGTAAGCACAGCGGGCAGTAGTGGGGATCCCGCTGCCGACTACAGCTCGGGCGCGAACCACGTGTTAGCCGTCATCCATCAGATACTAGGTCATCACAGAGCGCTAGAGGCGAGGTACCACCAGGCGAGGCTCAAGCTTCACCAGAGGCTTGCGTTGCTTCTGTACAAAGAGGATTGTAGGCAGGTATGTACACAACCACGTATATTACACTACAGGTTAATTAACTGGAATAAAAGTATCTTTTGTCTTCTATTACACAGATTACATGTATGACAGTTATATTATTAGAACGGCATTAAAAGATAGCCTATGTTCCTCATCGAATTTTATGATGGTTGGTTAAGTTATTCGGATCCGAAGAAGTAATAAATAAATAATCAAACTAACTCCTTTATTTATAATATTAACTCTCCTTTTCCATAAAAGGTAAATAGTAGAGTCGATTCGGAGGTGCCATTACACTAAATCTATTGTAATCTATTAATATATTGTATATATGTCTACAAAAACTATTATTGAATTTTTGTATACGGTAACCGTTTTGAATAATCGATTTCCCCAAAGACGACGGATACACATCACCAAAAAGGGTTCATTATAGGGATTATGTACTCATCCGATCTATTTAATCTCTGTGCCAGTGATGTCATCAACATATTAGTGAGGAAACATTATAAAAAAAAAGAATCATTCACACAGTCTTTAATATTATGATTAAATTATATTTGTACTTATAGATGCTATAAGAACAATGAGTAATAAGTTCTAATAAGATGCCATTGTAGGTGTTGGAGTGGTTGGCGAATCACGGCGAAGTGTTTTTGCAGAAGAATACTGGAATAGGAAGGAATCTCCATAAAGCAAGAGTATACCAGAAATCTCACGAACATTTTGAAAACGTCGCACAAGTGAGTAGTGTTTATTTAGGATTATTATTATTAGGCAACAATTTATTTAGGTAAAATAAGTTTTTTAGTCTTTTGTCTTTTTTTTTTATTTTTTTATGCAACTTAGAATGGCAAACAAGCTGACGGCCCACCTGATGGAAAGTGGTACATAACAGAGTATACTGTTTCGCCCATGTCACCCCCCCTCCTCCCATGCGTTGCCATTCCTGAGGACTCAGGTGTTATTCCTCTGTACCCTGTAAATTCACACCATATCCCACCCTTCAAACCGAAACACAGCCATGCAAACACAACTGCTTTATGGTTGAAACACGAATGGGACAGAGGTACCTAAGCAAACGACTTTTGTACAAAGTTTCCCTCTGGTTGTTTCTAAATAAGAAGAAGAAAAATTATTAAAAAAATACATTGATGATTGATACAAAATAATGTATGCGTATAGAATACATACACGAACGCTGAAAAGTTATTGGCGGCTGCGGAGGAGTTGGCGCGGTCAGGGGAATGCGACCCCGAGGAAGTGTTAGGGGTCGCTCGCCAGTTAGAGGCGCATGTTGCGGCGTTTGCGGCGCGCGTCGACCGCAGGCGGCGGAGGCTCGACCTCGCCGTCCTGTTATATACTCACGAGAAAGACGTACGTATTAGCCATGAAAACGATTATACTATTTTTAATTTATGATCGTTAAGCCTAATTATTTTTTATTTAACTCAATTATATAACTTGTGACAAAATAATAACGGTGATTTTCGGTCAAATAATTTATTTACGATCTGAAAACAAGAGGAAGGCCTAACTCATAGATCTCTTTCTATGAATTTTTTTGCAGTGAATATGTTCAAATATTTGCATCAATAATTTTTTTGTATTTTTTTTTTTAATTAATTGTTGTGTAATATTTCAGAATATTGTGTTATGGTCCCATTTATGTATTGTTTTTTCCTAAAATGTTATATCACTGTATTTCACACTTACTTCAAAGATAGCCATGTGAATACAGCTGCCCAGTGGTAGAATCATAAACTACCTGTTCCGTGCAGTCTCCATCTAATTTAAAGAGTGAATAATAACTGTAGTCAGAGTTTACTATAGAGAGGAAGATATTGAAGGGTCGATTAATATTGTTCTTTTTTTATGTTGGACTATTTTTGCCATTTAGTTAATTCAATGGCTGGAGACATTGCGCAGCGGTGGCGGCGTTTGCGCAACGGACGACAGTCCTGAAGCGGCGAGACGCGCTCTGGATCAGTGTGCGCAACATCGCGCAGCTAGTCTAGATGCCTGCGCAGCCACTATTGCGCAGGGCGAAGCTTTACTGCAAGACTTAAGGTCAGTTATATTTTTATATATCAAGTAGTATAAAGGAGATTTTACTATCATTATGTATATGATGAGAGTCTAGATGCTAGTCTAGAGACTAAGCTAACGATAATCTTTCCTTTTTTTTTGGAAAAAAAGCTCTAATTCGAATAGATATATTCGGAATTCATGTCACGAAAGCAGTTCGAGTTCGGCCAATTAGAAACTCATGTAACGAAAGAAGCATGAAATCTGTCAACTTGAAATTTATGGAAGAAGCTAAAGTTCTGCTATTTCGGAACTCATGTCACGAAAGCAACTAGAGTTCTGCCAATTTGGAGCTCATGCCACGGAAGAAACTCGAGTATTGCCAATTGTTAGAGTTCAGCCAATTAGAAACTTGTCTCGCAAAAGCAGTTCCAGTTCTGCCCATTTGAAACTTATGTTACGAAAGAAGTTTTGCTAATTTAAAACTCATGTCATCCTCGAAAGAAACACAAGAATAGAATAGAATAGAAATCATTTATTCAAATAAACTTACATTGAAGCACTTTTGAAAAGTCATTACATTTTTTTTTAATCTACCGCTCGTTCGGAAAGCTGTCTCATCACAAGAAGAACGAGCAAGAAACTTGCGTGTTGCTCTTTTAAATAATTTTATTATTACTTTACATTTTCAAGTTTAATTGTGTGAATACAAACCACCAATTAGCACTAATTCAATTAAATACTCAAAAAGAAAAAAAAATATTGAATACATAACCAACTGGTTAAACAATTAATAAGAGGAAATCAGTCATAGTGATTAGAGCAGACCAGTCCCTACAAGCAGCACCCGTTCACGAGTATGACGGATGAGCCAGCCATCACTGCGCTCGACCATATTTTAGGGAGCCCAATGACCCGGCCCACCACGCCGCCACAAGTCTGGACATTTTAGTGAGCATGACTACTCAAAACACTAGACCACGTCAAAGCTACTCACAATTGCCATCTGATAGTTATAGTATTCACATTTTACATAAGAATGCATGCGGCAATTAATACAAAAAACCGCTACGCTTTCATATTTCTAAAATTAATCAATTAAATCAAGAAAGCAATGAGAAAATAAAATTATAACGTTGTATGCTAATAAACTAATTATTTACTTGATATGTTGTCATCTATGAATTCGTCTATCCTGTAATAGGCTTTCTTACATAAAAATTGTTTAATATAAGATTTGAATTGCCTCTCTGTCAGATTTAATGCAGATTCCGGCAGTTTATTATAAAATCTTATGCAATTACCATAGAATGAATTACTGATTTTGTGCAGACGGCATTTAGGTAAAATAAGCTTATTTATATTGCGTAAGTTTCTACTTGTACAGTCTTTGAGTTTTTTAAAACTCGCTAAGTTCTTCCGTGTATACATAATATTTTCATAAATGTATTGTGAAGTAACTGTGAGGATATTTGAGTCTTTAAAGCACTGACGTAATGACTCTCTTGAACCCATACCATAAATAGAACGTATGGCTCTCTTTTGTAAAACAAATATAGTATTTATATCGGCTGCTTTACCCCACAGCAGTATGCCATAAGACATTATGCTATGGAAATAACTAAAATATACAAGTTTAGCCGTCGCCACGTCTGTTAATTGCCTAATTCTTCTAATTGCATATGCAGCAGAACTGAGTCTACTGGCCAATTTTGAAATATGGGGCCCCCATTGTAATTTCGAGTCCACTGTTATACCTAAAAAAACTGTATCATTAACAAAATTTACTATTTCGTCATTAAGCAATAACTGTGTATTTATTAGTCTTACATTAGGAAGTGTAAATTTTATACACTTTGTTTTGCTGGAATTTAATAATAGGTTATTACATGTAAACCAATTTAATATTGCAGACATAGCACAATTTACATCGTCTAATTGATTACTTTGACGTCCAATTTTAAACACTAACGAAGTATCATCCGCAAACAGCACTATATCTGCAATTTTCTCTACCATAAAGGGAAGGTCATTTATGTAGATTAAAAAGAGAAAGGGGCCTAAGATTGACCCTTGTGGAACGCCCATCTTAATATTAGCTCCCTTAGATTTTACACCGTCAATATCTACAGTTTGAACCCTATCCTCTAAATAAGTTCTCATTAATTTTAGATCATTATCTCTTATACCATAATGTTCGAGCTTGTACAAAAGCGTTTTATGATCCACACAATCAAATGCCTTTGATAGGTCACAAAAAACTCCGAGTGCATCCTGTGACCCCTCCCAAGATTCGAAAATATGTGTCATTAGCGCAACACCTGCGTCAGTGGTAGACTTGCCGGCGGTGAAACCATATTGCTGACTGTGAAGCAGTCCGTTAACCCTGAAGTGATGTAACATTTGATTTAACATTATCTTTTCAAACACCTTACTTAGAACTGGCAAAATAGATATAGGTCTATAGTTCCCTGGCTCAAATTTATCTCCTGATTTAAATAGTGGGATTAATTTGCTAAATTTCATTAAATGTGGAAAAACGCCATTATCAATACATTTATTAAAAATAGTGGCTAGATATGGAGCAACAATATCTATGAAAGAACTAACTACTTTTACAGACATGCCCCAAAGGTCTTCCGTTTTGCTAAGGTCAAGTTTTGCCAATTAGCTATTCATGTGATCAAACAAGCTTGAGTTCTACCATTTTGGAGCTAATGTCGCGAAAGCAACTAGAGTTCTGCCAATTTGGAGCTCATGCCACGGAAGAAACTCGAGTATTGCCAATTTGGAATTGAGGATAATAAGCTCTCAATTGAAAAAATGTAATAATTTTTTTTTAATATCTTTATATAGACATCCATATTTGATAGAATATAAAGTTTTTCTTGGGTTCTAAAAAAATATATTGTTTTCATTAAGTACATTCGTATTAAATCCACATATGGAGCTAGTTTGTGAATCCAAGTGAACGGAATGTTAAATTAATGTAATTGGATTTGAATCGTAAAAATTATTATACTGTGACATATAGCTAAGTCATCATCATCATCATCATCATCATATCAGCCGTTAACTGTCCACTGTCTATGCAGCTAATAAGTAGTCGTGATAAATTCAATGTTTGGTTCTTGTATATCATTTAATATTAACTAATTGGTCACATGTTAACCTGTTCAATTGATTTTCTCCCTTTTTTTATTGAAACTGTCGGACTTTTATGAACGTTAAAAAATATATGTATTATATTTAGTATAGCTACTCTCAAATGATGTGCTTAACAACAGTTAGAAGGGGAGAGTCATTATTAATAACTAGGTCTTTATTCACCGATGGGGATACATTACTAATAATAATCTGAATGAAAAGGAGACCAGAGGGAGACTTTGTACAAAAGTCCATTGCTTGGGTACCTCTGTCCCATTCGTGTTTATACCGTGAAACAGTTGTGTTTGCATGGCTGTGTTTCGGTTTGAAGGGTGGGATATGGCGTGAATTTACAGGGTACAGAGGAATAACATCTGAGTCCTCAGGAATGGCAACGCATGGGGGTTTTTTTTATTTTTTTTTTGATGGGTGAAAATGGTATATTAACCCCGCCTGCGCTAACGGGATACGCTGGCGGAGCACCAGTGAAGGGTGATAGGTGAGAATGAAAACAGGCCAGTTAGCCCATCATGATGAATTCATCAGGAATTAACCATGATAGTTTCCAGGGGGAACCGCGAGGAGGTCGACCTGGTTGGGTATATTGCTAGCAATGGGATTCTCAGTCGCCATTACTAACAATCCCTTTCCCCCCAACGCATGGGGGTTATCATGGGCGAAATAGTATACTCTTGTGTCCATGGTACTACTCATGTCTATAGGCGACGGTTACCACTTTCCATCAGGTGGGCCATCAGCTTGTTTGCCATTTTAAGTTGTATAAAGAAAAACATCATTACCACCAAACCATCGTGGTTAATTCGGATCATGTTTCGTCATAATGAGCCAACTGATATGACTTTATTCTCAGAGTGGAATGGGATTGTTAGTTATGGGGTTCAACATCCCCGTTGTTAGCAGTATCAGATCGACTTCCACGCGGTTCCCCTAGAAACTATCGTGGTTAATTCTTGTGGAATTCGTCACGATGGGATAACTTACATCTTTTCATTCTTATCTGTCATTTTCACCCCGTGCTCCGCCAGTGTATACCGATAATACAGGGGAGTAATATAATTAAACCTTGGCATATGCGACCGTACACCAAAAGCGCAACCGCAAGTGCTTGAGAATCGAAATCCAGTACATAGAACAAAAAAAAAAAATAAATACAGGGGAGTTCATTACTATAATCTTATTGTTTAACCTCCACTGGTGCTCCACCATTGACACTTAGCGTAGGCGGGTGCACCATTCCATCTTAATTTAATAAAGTAAAAATTCATTTTCTATAAAAAATAAACTACGTTTTCATACTAACGAAGTATACACGCATGTTTACGCATACTTAAGTAAATATTAACTAGTATTATATTAAGATTAGTAATTTGTTTTTACTTTAACATTATTCATCGTACTGGCAACCCTAATTGCCTAGAGAAGTGTAATAACCACGTCGATGAATCAAACCAATAACATCAATAACATGTTTATTAATATATATAATATACCATTTATAATATCTAATTTGTTTCATTATTTTACACACTCTTATTGGCCCACTTTTATATACTGGTACGGGTAAATTATATAGCCTGGTTTATCCTGGAAACCATTGTGGGTAATTCTTGAGAAATTCATCACGATGGGCCTACTTACCATCCCTTATCATCTGTCATCCATCACGGGTGCATATGATTCTATTCATTTATATTTGAGAGTATAGAGGAGTTTATGTAAAAATCCGTAGAAGTAGTTCACATTATAATCTTTTAAAGTGATTCGTTGAAAACTTTGTTATTTGCGAAAGCAATTAAATTGTAGTCGACTAGTTTTTACCTGCGACTTCGTCTGCGAGATTGAGATATTTTGATTAACTAGGATCAAAGGTAGAG